AATTAATTATCTTGTTAAAAGAAATAAGACCTTATTTATAATTTTACATTTTATATTTTATAAAACGAATAAAACGATATAAAACGAACAAGTGTGACCAATCTTTGAAACGTAACGTGTAACCAGCTCAGTTTCAAAAATCGGAGTTTGAACTGGGGTTTAACCGGATCAATAAACCGCAGTTTGAAATGTGTAAACCAAACCGCATCGGTTCGGTTTCAAACCGCCAGTTGAACCGGTTTGGGTTAAACCGTTCCCATCCCTATTGGGGGGTGGGGAGTAAGCACTACTATTAAAATGATATTAGCTAATATATGTCAGCGCCCTAACGCATTTTTGTTGGTCATTTATCACGTAAATTCGTTGTAACGCGATTAGTAGCTCTATCAAAAAATCATACCAAAAATTCGTTATTCGTTGTAATAAGATTCTATTACTATTAATAAATTCGGTGTAACAAAAGTTTTTATTAAAGCTTAGTGTGAATTTTGTCAAAAATTTTGGGATATTTGCTGATTTGAATTTCACACGTGTGAATTTAAAATTCACACAACAATCACATTATTATGTAATTATTATGTATAATAGTATAATTGTGATGTTAATCAATTTTGGTCCCTGAAATTTCTTTGAGCTACATCAAAATGTGTTACAATATATTAGATATTCTGATTTCTAATAAAAAAATCGAATAAATCAGAAAAATGTTGGTAAGTCTCAATGCTCAATAAAAACTAGTGTTTTCTTAAGATAATAAGGGGCATCTTATTTATTTTTTACTCGTTTTTAGCAGTCTAACAGTATTGAATTTACTCCTACTAAACAAAGTGGCAAAGAAACAAGGTACATGTAAAAAAAATAATTATTAATTGAAACTTGTATATATGTGCGTAGCGCTTCATATTTTTATTAATGAAATAATTATTAGAAATGGAGAAGAATTATTAGATGATCCAGTTCAAGATCATCGACCACGTTTATTGATTATGGGATTAAAAAGGTATGATCCTTAATATAGATATGTATTCATTATATATAACCACAATTACAATTTCTATTTTTTAATAATTTTATAGAAGTGGAAAATCAAGTATTCAAAAAGTTGTATTTCATAAGATGCCAGCAAATGAAACATTATTTATTGAAAGTACATATCAAATTGCCAAGGAAAATATAACGTATGTAAAGATACACATAATTTTTTGTTTCGAATTTGTATGAATTTTTTTTATGGTTAATTTTCTTAAATAAGTATAAATAATTTGTATTAGATCGTTCGTTGATTTCCAAGTATGGGATTTCCCGGGACAAATTGATTATTTTGATCCGGCATTTGATTCCAGTATAATTTTTGGAGAATATGGAGCATTGATTTTTGTGATAGATGCACAAGTAAGTTAATTAATTATTATTGGAATAGAACTATCGCATAGTTTATTATATAAAAGTCGAAATTTATATATAAATATTTATTTATTTACGCAAGGATGACTACTTTAAAGCACTTAATCGACTTCACCAAACAATTACACAAGCATATAGTTTTAATCAAGAGCTTGTGTTTGAAGTATTTATTCATAAAGTAGATGAATTGTCAGAGGAATTTAAATTTGATACATTGAGAGAAATTCAACAAAGAACAACTGATGAATTAGCAGACGTTGGATTGGAAAATGTTCCAATAAATTTTTACTTGACTAGTATTTATGATCATTCTATTTTTGAAGCATTTAGTAAAGTAGTTCAAAAACTTATTCCGCAATTACCAACATTGGAAAACTTACTAAATATATTATGTGCTGTACGTTATTTGTTTTAGTGATTTCATTTATATTTATTTACATATTAATTGATTTAATATTTCTAATATTTATATTAGAATTCTGGTATAGAGAAAGCCTTCCTATTTGATATCAATTCAAAAATTTACGTTGCAACTGATAGTTCACCTGTGGATATACAATCATATGAGCTTTGTAGTGATATGATTGATGTTATTATTGATATTTCAGAAATTTATGGGTTAATATAATATTAATTAATAAATAAAGTACCGAATTATAGAGTTAATATATGACTTATTATATTTATGACATTTTATATCTTATGTTTTTTAGGCAAAATAATTCGGATGAAGCAATTGGTCAATCAAATTTACTGGAGAATGAGAATACGACAACTTATGGAACAATTGCTGATACTGCAATTGACACCTCATCGTTAATCAAATTGAATAACGGAATGATATTATGTCTTAAAGGTGTCAATAGGTGAAACTTTATAAACAATTTATTTACTATTTAATCTCTCATATAATTCATATATAATTGTTAACATTGATACAAATACAACTAATAATAGAATTTATCATCATTATCATCTTACTTCTTTGTCATTTTTAGATTTCTTGCGCTAGTATGTTTACTTCGATCGGATAATTTTGAGAAACATGGACTAATAGATTATAATTTTCAATGTTTTAAGCACGCAATAGCAGAAGTATTTGAGTTAAAACGTCTTAGTACCGAAAGGATTAAGCAAGAAAAACTAAAAACTAGTGGAAATTTTAGCGAAGATGATAATTTCAACTAATAATTTCTTACTATTTATTTCTAAATTTGTATTTTTTTAATTATTTTAATATTTTAATTACTTTCTTATCTTTGTTTAATAATTAATACCATATATTTGCATTCAACTGTATATTACTAAAACATTTAAAATTTCTATTTATTTTTTGAAAATCACTGCCAAAATAAAATAATTGTAATCAAATTTGGAAAAGATCTACAAAGCTTTATATCAAGACAAGATTACAAATAAAATCCTCTTTTGAATGAAATTTAAAGAATGTCATCAGATTATAATAATATAAAAAATTTATGTGAAACCATTATTTTCAAAATATCAAAAACTTTAAACAATAAGGATAATGATGATAATTTATTGGGAAAAAAAGATGGTAATTAATTAAATTAACGGATAAAAAATAAATATTTTTATTTATAACATTTTATTTAATCTTTTTTAGGAATATTTGATTGTGATAAAGCATCGATTTATTTATTAAACCAATGCATTAAAGATTTGAAAATATATTTTAGTAGTGGTAGTGATAGTAATAATGATGACGATAATAACAATGTTTTAATAAAGGCAACTTCATTAATTGATTTAGCATCTGAAAAACTATATTCGTTCCCATATAAAGATGTAGCAATTTGTTGGTTACGTTTGTACACAGATGCAAGTTTAATAAAGAGTGTTTGTGAAATTTTAATGACGATAAAAATGACAACAACAAGAACACTAGCATCATCATCGTTATCATCGTCATCGTCACCAATAACAATATTATCGTTATTGAAACAAGTTATTAAGAATTTGGATATGGCTTTAGTGATGACAAATGCTCCTGGATATGAAAGAAAAGAATTGATATTTAGTTTTATAGAAGAAGTACAGAAAATCTTAAAAGGAATTGACGAAAATCATGTTCTTTATAATCATGAATCTTCTTCTTCATCAAAAAAACGTAGGGATATCGAGGAAGAGAAGGAAAAAAGAAAAATTCCAAAATACGAAAAATTAGATAATCCAATATCAACTTCAAAATCGTCAACAAAATCTACTACATCATCATCATCATTAATACCAAAAATTCCATCGCCGAGTATATCATATTTTACATCTCATGTAACCTCCAATAATCCAACGCCTTTCATCATCACATCATCAATTTCACATTGGCCTGCATTATCAACAACTCCATGGAGTGATATGAATTATTTGTTGAATAAAATAGGAAAAAATCGGTTGGTACCGGTGGAAATAGGAGCTAAATATACCGATAATTCTTGGACACAAAAACTAATCAGCTTTGAAGAATTTGTAAATAATTGGATATTATCAAATGATCTTATTGAAAATTATAACACTGACAATAAAATAGAAGACAGAAAAGAAGAAGCAAAAGTAGTAAATAAAGAACAAAAAGAAATAGCTTATTTAGCTCAACATAATTTGTTTGATCAAATTCCTAGTCTTAAAGATGACATATTGATCCCTGATTATTGTTTTGTAAATACAGTCATACCTTTTTCAAACCTTCCTTCATCCACAAACAATTCAAATGATGTTGATGATGATTACAATAATTGTAAAGGGAATGAGAACAACCAAAAACCAAGAAAATATAACCCTCCTCCTGATGTTATTATAAATGCATGGTTTGGACCAAAAGGAACCATTTCACCCATGCATACCGACCCCTATCATAATCTTTTAGCTCAAGTTGTAGGAAAAAAATATATAAGATTGTATTCGCCCGAAGAAACTACCAATCTATATCCTTTTGAGCAAGATGGATTTCTTGGTAACACAAGCCAAGTAATGAATTTCTAATTATATATATATTATTATTTTTTTCATAATTATATATGTATTAATTGTGAATATATATATCCAAAAGGTTGATGTAGAAGCGCCAGATCTTGAACGTTTTTCTCGATTTGCTTCAGCTAAATATCAAGAATGTATTTTGGAACCCGGAGAACTGTTGTATATCCCAGTAAGTTCTTGATAATATATTTTTTTGACATTTTTTAAATTGTCCATTTTTCAACATTTAATTAACTAATAATATTAATAATTTAGCCTGGCTGGTGGCATTATGTAAAATCATTAACCATAAGTTTCAGTGTAAGCTTTTGGTTTTAAAGTATATAAAATATTTTTCTTTTTAGTAGTAATTAATAATTGTGATGGGTATTACATTTAATATTATGATGTTATTATATAGGAAAGAATAATATTCTGAAAAAAAATAAAAATAGAAAAATAAAAAACTAAAATTCTAAATTTGATGTTGTTGATGTATATTTCCCTTAGATAATTCTTCTGATGATATCCATTAATACTGACATTAGGTATTGAAAAAATGTAAAATAGTTTTTTTCCCAATAATTTTAATTGAGACTATTCAATTTTAAATACCTAAGTCTAAAAAGATGTGTATATATATGATGTGTGTGTGTGTGTGTGTGTATATAAGTAATATATTATTTTTTTGGTCGCTATTAAAAAATTTTTTTTGTTACAAACCAAACGGGTTTTTTAAAAAAAGATTTTCTGATTATTATTAACTAGCAAAAAGAGATGATATACATATTGTGTATTAATCGAGAAACAATATTTAAATCATATTATCGTTTTAATAAGAGTCACCAAAAGATGATTATTTCCTTTTATTACTGCCAGCCATGCGTTTATTTTTTTGACCAGAAAGTAATTGATCAGAATATAATTTTCCATTAGCTCTAATAAAAAATTAGGAAAAAACGACGATAAATTAGCTAAATGGCAATATATTACATATTTATTTATTTATTACTTACTTACCTAACAGGAGGTTTATTAAGTTTTCCTCTCGCTCTATATGTTGCAGCACCAGTATTTGAATTGTTGCCTGGCTGCTTTAATTGAACTTTAAGAACATAGCCTAGAATACAATTCAAATTAAATATAAGATGCTTGAAATAATAAAATAATAAAGTATCTATATTAATTTATATTAATATATTAAATACAAACCATCAACAAGTGCAGTATTATATTTCTTTATTGCATCAAGCGCTGAAACTTTACTTTCAAAAGTTAATTCAGCCTTTACAGGATTAGCAGGAAATCTTTCATCTACGTTCATTGTAGAAATTTCACCAAATTCCATAAATGCCGTCTAAACAAATCAAAAAAAAAAAACGATAATAACAACAATAATAAAATTAATAAATGGTTTATTATAAATCAAAATTTTGATTTTATAGATACATTCCAACCAACCTTAATATCATTTGCACTTGTACCAGGCGCTAAATTGTTAACAGTGATGGTAGCCGGACCTCCTTCACCTTTAATAGAATATCGAGCTTGTTGATTTCCAGCAGCGCCTTTGATCGATAATCTATTTACAACACCACTACCGCCGGGACTATTATTAATTCCGTTACCCAGACGTTGTCTGATAGATAAACCCAAATTATTGTTGTTATTGTTGTTATTGTTATTGTTGTTGTTGGGCTTTGGATTGTTCCTATTTTGAGCACCAGAGTTGAGAGTTGGGAAAAGGTCATGGCGCCAAACACCATTAGGATTGCCAGATTTGGAAATTCTCGGTTTCTGATTTTAAAATGTCCACATTATTTATTAAATGTATTTAAATCAATTTTTTTTCATCACATTCTTTCACAAGTCCCAAATAAATATTAAAACCACCACCAGAAAATATATAAAATAGTTCTTCTTAAAGAAAATCATGTTATTTTAATTTTTAAAAAAATTTTTTTTGAACGTTGTTGAAAAAGAAGAAAAATAAATTATATTTTTTTTATATACTTTCTAGCGTAGACTACTAATTGGGATTCTGCTTTGATTCTTACCGGATAGGGATTAGCTTTTTGCCTGGTCAAATTTTTACCAGCAGATCTGGTACGAATTGGTCCTATTGTCCTGTTGTTTCTATTATTGTTGTTGTTGTTGTTATTGCTATGATTATTGGTAGGATTATTATTTCCAGTGAAAGTCCTTGCTGGTTGCTTCGGCTTTCTTTTATTGCCCTTGATGATGTCATCCAAACTCATATCAATTCTATCCATTTTTTGTATTTTCATATAATAAATATGTGTATGTTATTGATTTCGAAGGAGAGAGTAAAAAAATAGTGGTCAAATATAATAAATTAATAAAAAAAAAAAGAAAATTGGGAAATTTTTTTTGATGAAAAAATTGTCACATAAAATTTAATATTAATAAACAAAATACGGGGTGTATCTTTTATATTAGGCCCTGTTTTACTTGAGTCACTAATTTAAAAAATTAAACATTCTTTGTAGAACATATTTAATTTGAAACAATATCCACTTTGTACAGTAAGTAATAGTAATAATTTTTTTCTTTATCGAATATAATCACAAGGTGTTAACAAATCCTTCTCTAACTATTAATCACGTGAGTTAAAAAGAAATGAAATAACAAAACATACTATGGATCACTAATAAAAATGACTATCAAACCTTGTGCCTAAAAAAAAATGTCCAACAACGAGAGATAATCATGATGATATCCACTTGGAAATTTTTCTGTGTCAAACACCATTTGAACAATAATTGTAGCAAACTATGTTTTTTATTTTTTTGAATGCTGTCACCTCAGATGCGAATAATTCTAAAACCAAAGAATTAGAAGTATGTAAATTATGCAAATGTAAAACCGAGTATTTATTTTCTCGACCACAAAAATACAAGTTCAATATGTTTGAATTGAAGATTCACACTCAAAGCTTTCAAATATCAAAAAGCGACCATTCATCAGAGGATACAAGCAGAAAGCAAAAGAATACATGGAAATGACCGTTTCTCATAATTTTTCAAAACGACATTGGTTTTCATGATCCAAGTGAGAATAATCATGGCACAGGAGTTGCTGATGATCAAAGCGAAGATGCCACGGTTCTGTAACCTCTCTCCACTAATGATTGAACCGCCTCAATTGCTGCCAGTACCCAAACACTTTTTCAAGAACAACCATATTTTGGCATTACACAATTAAATTACGGCCATTCTCAAAAATTTTTATATAAATATAACCAGAGTGTCTGTCAAAAGCTGTAGATACAAACTTCCTCTATTGATCAAGTATTACATCATCTCGTTGATTTATTTGATCGGTAATGAGTGTTTAATTGTGGTCTGGATGTAATTTTTTATGAAGTACACTCGTTTTCATAAACCTCGTTATAATGGATGTTACGCGTAATAAAAAATTACAGCGCAAGAAAAAATACAGTCAAATGACCTTGTAATTTAACTACTAAGTTTGTTCTAAATATTATGAAGCTTGCTTGATGGTCTGTTAGAATCTCCCTTTTTTATAATAATCTTTATGGAAGAAATTAACGGAACAAGCTAATAAAATACTTGAATAAAATGAATTATTGGGTCCATCTATACGATTTATGATCCAATAAAAATGGCAACAATTTTTTTAAGAAATCACCACTATATAAATAAATTTATTCAGATAATATTTTAAAAATTGATAAAACTTCTGGAATTGCTAACATTAAATAAGGTCTAACATTTAGAGATTTCATTTTGAATTTTGTGATTTAAAACAAACAAATAAAGGTAGATACATACCCAACAAATATCAGCAATGAATAAACGAGTGAAGATATGTAACGACAGCTTTGTAAGAAGTATAAAAAAAGATACAAGGTGTGATGAGGGATGGTAATAGTAGCTTCTGCTGATATACGAGTGAGGCGGAAAATTTTGAAAAATTATAACGAACACTAAAGTTAATGCAACTTTTTATAATTATATTATTTGTAAAGACAATTATTTATTCACGTATTCTATTATTAATATCAGCACTTTTTTTCCGTTGAAGACGTTTATGCCCTGGGTTATCTCTTGTACCCACAAACTTTGGAAACTCTATTCTTTCAATTTCCTTTTCTGAAATGTGTGAAAAATGTATATCATGTGACACTTTAAAAGTATATTCAATTCTATGTTCCCTGAAATTTTGAACCCTGAAATCTTTATGTTGAGTCATTAATCATTGATCTATAACCTTAATTGGAAAGGTTAAAAAACTACAAAGCAATAAAATGACTTCATTGTTCATTATCATGATCCATCATTGGTTCGCAGAATGTAAACATTTCTATAAAAAAATTTTTTATTGTATTACGAGCAATTGATGATTAATAAGTGGCGTAATTAAAGTCTAAAACCTACCTATAATAATCTATATATCTCTTTTTTAAAATAAAAATTTTTACTAAAGTTACGTACACTAATAATTTCACTCGACTTGAAAAAAAAGGCCTTATTGTATTAGAATTGGACCCTATTTCCCTATTTTATATTCTAATAAATAAGTTCAAAATGAATTTTTTTTAATCACCCTATATATACATATATATATATAAAAAACTTTTTCTTTTCTTAGCTTAAAAAAAAATACATAATAATAATCTTCTAAAAAAGAAAGTAAAAAAAGTGAAATAGTTATAAAAAAATATTTTAAATTTCGAAACGTTGTGTATATACATATATTTAACATACTTAACATATATATTCCCATCTATACGTTTATCTATATAATAATATATTTACTTACATTTGATTCTTTTATATATAAAATTTAGGTGTTATTATATATATATAAATTTCAAAATTAAATTATACATATAAAAAACTGATGCTTCATCCACAGTCACAACAAGGTCAGACACAAATTCAACAACAGCAGCAGCAGCAGCAACAACAACAACAACAAGCACAACAAGCACAAACTTCACAACAATTAAATCAGCATCAACAGCAACAGCAGCAGCAGCAACAGCAGCAGCAACAAAATTCTCATCAACCACAACAACACCAACAAATGTTGTCTACAAATCCTCAGGATGATAAAAACAATCATAAAGTCAAGCTTGATAATAAAAACGACGAACAGAGAATATTATTCGTTTATATTTACGATTTTTTAAAGAAAAACGGGGCTACTGAAACTGCTAAAGTATACTTGTCTGAAGTTGATATAACTAAACATTATAAACCTGTCGATGGTGCAAACGGTTCATCTGCTGCTGACAACGATTCAAATTCTTTGCCTGACGTTGAACTACCTGTAAATGCTCCTGAGGGGTTTTTATATGAATGGTGGAATGTATTTTGGGATATATATAGCGCAAAAGTTAAACAAAATGGTGGTACTGGTGAAGCACGTAGTTACATAGAACAACAGGTAATTCACTATATAAAAAAAATGAAAATGAAATTATTTTTTCTTGTCCTTTTTTTTATTAATCATTCATTTATTTGATCACTTATCCATTTGATTATTCATTCATTCATTTATTTATTCCGACCTTTAAATAATATATCTTTTATTAAAATTTTCTCCCGTTAATCTAACCGAACGCATTAAAAAAATAACATTAATATCATCATTCCCATCACCATAATCATAACAATCAATGACAACAACAACAACAATAATAGTTGAGAATGAGAAATAATCAACGTGCTCGTCTTTCGTCGTTACATGATGGGATGGCTGCATATCAGCAAGCTACTGGTCAAACTCCAAATGCAGCACAACAACAACTAATTCGAATTCACACTCAACAACAAATGCAACAAGCTGCTCACAATCAACAACAAATGCAACAAGCTGCTCAACAACAATCACAAAATGTACAACAAGCTGCTCAACATCAACATCAACAGCAACAGCAGCAACACCAACACCAACAACAACAACAACAACAACCACCACCGCCTAATCCACAGCAACCCAATCCGCAACAACAACCTAATACCCATCAACAAGTTGTTCATCAACACCAACAACAACAAGCCCATCAACAACAATTCGCAAACAGACAAGTTCCTAACGGTGTTCAGATGAGCGTAGATACTCCAAATGTGAACGTTGATATTAATAATCTGAGTCCTCAACAAAGAATGAAAATGAATGCTGCCAATCAAACCAGAAGACCTTTTGGGACTCCGTAAGTATTAAATAGGAGATAATGGTCTTTATTATTATTAAATATTTGACTCTAATCATTGTAAACGGTAAAATTAATAGTACCAATACAGTAACTATGAGCTTTCCAAATCTTCCACCACAACAACAACATCAGCAGCAGCAACAGCAACAGCAGCAGCAACAGCAGCAGCAACAGCAGCAGCAACAGCAGCAGCAGCAACAACAAGCTGCACAACATCAGCAGCAACAGCAACAAGCTGCACAGCATCAACAGCAGCAGCAACCGTCACAGCGCCCTTCTATCGCATTACATCCTATGCAACAGACACAAGGTCAAAATTCCCAACAAGGTCAAAATCAAGCACAGCAAGTATCTAATGTTGTAAATCAAAATCAAGTTCAAAATACTAGTGGTGCCTCCCAAGTTCATATGACACCTGGTCAAATATCTCAGGTATATTTTTTTTTTATTTATGGATATATATATATTTATAATTTATATTTAAAATTATATTCATATTTATTTATTATTTATATTTATAATAGTTAAATCCTTCAACAAAACGTCCCGTAGATACTCTAGTTGTGAATCCAACATTAAATCAACCTACATCCCCTAAACGTATTAAAACAATGCCACCTGATGCCAACACTCCTTATAATATTAATAATGGTAAACATAAATTAATGATTTTATTTTATTGATCTTTAATAAATAATTATTTTATCAAATACTTATTTAATATATTTATATTATAGCTCAGATGCAAATAGGAAGATCACAACAACCTAATCAACAACAGCAAATCTCACTTTTAACCACTGTATGTATATAATTATCTATAGAATTAATTAAATTTTCAAATCTTATTTATTTATAATGAAAAAATTTTTTATATAGCCTATGAATGGAATGATGTCTCCTGCCGATACCAAAACTCGTCAAAATTCGCTTCCTGCTGGCAAAAAATTGAACCAACAACAACAACAGCAACAGCAGCAGCAGCAACAACAACAACATCTGATCCAGCAGCAGCAGCAGCAACAACAACAACAACAACATCAGCAACAACAACACCAGCAGCAACAACAACAACGCCAACAAACTACCCAGCAGCAACAACAGCCAATGGTTAATCTTAACCCAAAATCAATCTCACCTCATAACAACACTCCACAAATGAATCAACTTGGACATGACAATGATGCTCAAATTGTTACCCAACTTCACACTACATTAAATGCTGCCGCTGATGCTAATGCTAAACTTAATAACGCACATAATGCACTTGGTATTCCAATGACTCTCATGGGAAACATAAATGGTTCCAACATCATGTCTCCACATCCTCCTTCCACTAATCCTAATTATATGTTGGCTGCAGCTGCTGGTTTCCCTGGTGGTATGATTGGACATCCAAACATGGTTAAAAAGGTTTGTTTTTTATTTTTATTCTAATTTAAATATGTATACAGAATTAAACAATAATTATGTGATCAATTTCGCTATTAATTATGCAGCGTCCTCATCCAGGCGAAATGAACTTACAAGGAAATATGAGACCCAACATAGCAGCACAAGCACAATATCTTTTACATAATGGTTATATCCAAATGCAGCAGGCACAAGTACAACAGGCCATGCAAGCACAAGCACAATCTGCAGCTGCACAAAAAGCCGGCGTTCAACAACAATCACAAACCGCTCAACAGCAACAGCAACAACATCACCAGCAGCAGCAGCAGCAGCAGCAACAACAACAGCTTCAACAAGCTCATGCTTTACGTGCAAAGAATGATAATTCAAAAAACCTAAAGGTATGTAGATATAGCAGATTATATAATATAAATATTATTATTATTTATTAAATTCCTACAACCCCTATGCGTTAACTAATCATAGAATACTCCCAAGATTACGCCAGCACAACAAGTCAATACTGGAGGTCCATCATCAAATTCAGTTGCAACTCCTCAACAACAACATTCTCAACCTATTCAATCATCACTTAACCCATCAAATGTAATGACATTACAATCCCAAAACACCATGCCAGACAATATGCCCCCTCCTGTTTCATCCAATCCTAATGTTAATATGGACGATGTACGTTAAACTTTAATTAATTAATTTTTTTCCTTCTCAAATTTACATAATACTTATGATTATTTATTTTTATATATAGGTTTCAAACTTTGACATTTTAGAGCTTATTGGTAACGGCACTTCAATGTTAAATCCCATGGATAACAGCACTCCAATGTTAAGCATTGAGGATTTCTTGAATCTTGATTGAGATATAAACCAATAAGGAATAAGAAACAAATTTAGCAATCCAAAATTACTACTAGTGAAATAGCACTTCACCTTCAATGTTAATCATTGAGGATTTCTTGAATCTTGATTGAGATATAAACCAATAAGGAATAAGAAACAAATTTTACAAACCAAAACTACTATTAGTGAAAAAATAATAATAATAACAAATACCCTTCATTGTCATCTTCATAAGATTTATATTTTTTATTTATTAAATGATTTTATATTTTTTTGTTTTTTTGCAAATTTAATTATTTTTATTATTTTCTTTCTTTTACTTTATTTTTATTTTTTTTCAAAGTATTTTAGCTGTTTGTTTTATTTTATTAAATATAAATTCCGAAATCATTTTGAATAATAAATTCTAATTCTTTTAACCGTGATTATACGTATTTCATGATGCCTCAGGTCAGTATCATCTTCGATCAATCATTATTTGGCTACTAAACAATAAATTGATTTCCTCCATCAAAATTGACAAATATCATCTCAAGAAAGATTCCTTGACCTTTCTCTTTTTTTTAAACTTTCATTTTGGGTTTTTTAAAAATATTGCAAAGTAACTTTTAATTATTTAACAAGAATAGTTTGATTTTTGGCAGTTAATTACAATAATTTGGTGCTCGCTTGTCGATTAATAATTTTACCATCGGCGAATCTGGAAGCACACTTGGTGGTATAAATATGGCTCTTTTGCAAAGCTCAAATGCTCCTATAAAATTACTTTATTTCCCGACTTACTCCAATCTTTCCCTTATTGTCTGATTGCAAACTCACTTTGGTTTATTTACAAACCCCTTAGCAGCTTAACAGCTTTACTTTACAATAACTATGTTACGTTATAGCTTACAAGTATTTCCGTTAACGCTCGCTTAGTTAAGAATGCCCCATTGCACAACAGTGGCTTTTTACTAAAATTCTTTAACCATTGTTTCTTACTTGAAGCACTTTACAACCGAGAAGAATAAAGTTTTATTTTTCAACAAATAAAAATACAAAAGCTCAAGCTCATTAACAATTTATAAAGCTTTTATTTTATTGGGAAAGAAGAACTTGTAAAAATATAATTTTGATGCTCTTCCCTAAAAGGCGAGGAAGAAGGCAGTGTTGGTGCAGGAGAATCCTTTTTAGGTGTTATATCACCAACACCGAATGAATCCTCGATTGAACTTACAACCTTACACTACTTGCAGCGTTAGAAAGTTTAGAGCAAAAGTTTTATACAAACAAAATTAAAACCAAAATTTGACTAAAATAATAACAGATTCCTTGGGAGTGTTGTGACATAAAATTCACTTTGTTTAGCTTCGTTGCAAAGAAATCAAAATTTAGCAAATTAGCCAGTGATTTTACGTATAATGTGTGAAACTGATTTACATATGGAATCCAAGAATTACGGCATCATTATTAAGGTGAGAAAATTGCCCTTATCAAAATAAATAGCACCTAGGTGCTTAAATAAAAGAAAAAATTAACTGTGTAGTTTACACTAGAAAAGAAAGCAGAATGAAAGTGAAAGAAGAATTACATGATTGGGAGGTCCTTTTCAAGTAATATTAAAGTTATACATGCTAATCATGGCCGAATTATCTTGTCATGCTTGGGATTCCTTGCTCAACAATTAATCACTACCTCAACTCAATCCAGAACTCAACGATAATATCACGATGGTATAATTGGGCATATGTTTCTTTTGGTGTCAAAACCATAGAGTGATTGTTATGACAAAGGCGGCCAAACTGCAAGATCACTGCATTTTTACCATTATTTTTTGGGTTTCTAAGCTAAAATTAATCCTTGTGGCGAATTCCATATATAAATGCTATTGATTCAAAATTGCGATGTTTGTTTCTATTTTTTATGTTCTATTTACTATTTTTTAAAGAACTTTAGCAGAAAACATCTCAAATTTTTATAAGTACGGTTTCTAAGCCAAAATTAATTACACGTAAGAGTGTTATTGACTCAAAATCACGATTTCATACCTTTATATGTTCATACTAATACTAACTTTGGCAATAATCCAACAAATAGACCTAAATATAAAATATCGTATTCAATATATTTTCTTCTATATAGCTCAAATTAATACAGTATTTTTAGGTAAGTGTTATTTGGCAATCGATTAGTTGTTTTGTTTTTTAGATAATGTTGGTTGTTTTAACCATGAGTTAAATAATTGTAAAAATTTAATTTGTGCGTTTTTGAGATTTATACAAGTTAAATTTTTGTTGGTTGAGTTATCGTGATATGCTTTAATGGTAAGATATCATTTTTGTTAAATAAAATTTTCTAATGATGAAAAACAAGTTGACATTTTGTTGAATTCATAAAAATTTTGGTAATATTAACGCGTAAAATTTCAAATTAGTCATGTACTGACTTTGGCCGTAACTCATCAGCAGTAATAATGAAGCGGTTGGATTGTCGATGAAAACTTGATAACTTGGATTATAAAAGGATTGCTGGTAAATTTTTTTAAATTAATTTTCTCGAAGACGATATTTATTTTATTTCTTTAGATGAATTCTGTAACAATAAAAGAGAAACATTGATAGAATGTTCAATGTTTCCGATGCCGATTTTATATTTATAAATCAGGCAGAACTTTCAGATAGATGAATTTAAAAAAAATTCCAAACAAACATCAATTAAAAAAAGTGAAATTGAACGTTTTAGCATTCTTAACGTTTATAGGCATCAAGTATACCATGTAATTCTGGTGATTATTTATGCAAAAATAGAAACCAGCATCAAAGTAAGTTTAAATTCTCTATATACATTTATAAAGAATAGGTATTATTATTATTATCTAAAATTCTATTTTTTATCATTAATCATTTCCTATTATTAGTTTTTAGAATTTTAGAGGCGTAAACATAACGCACAACAAATTATGACCTTTGTAATATACTTTGTTCTTTACACTTATATATATATTAATATAAAGGCGGTTATTGGGTGGGTGTATAAAATCAATGAATACGGGCCAACAGAGTGAAGAGGTAAGGTTCCATCATCATCAGTGTTATACACGGGACATGTCCGCCTAATTATTGAGAGAACACAATACTGATACTGATGACTTATATTGTTTTAAAGCTATACTTTCTGATTCATTCCTAGAAGATTTATATATTTAGCAAACATTAAATCAGCTAGTTACATAGTAATAAGATTCCAAACATGCCAACAAATATATTATTACCCATCTCCATTCTCTATAGTTAATTCCATCCATCAATTAATAAATTTTCTGCAACACCTGGAGTTTCAGATTTCTTCCAACTCTTCATCGGTAAAAACCCTTTTTGACACACGATCTCAAATGAAACTATCGCATAAATGAGTTAATAACAAGAAATAAAGAAATGATAATGCTAAATACTTGATCTTCCCGGGACTAGTAGTACAAAACCACAAGTTAACACATTTACCACCTTTATTAATTCAACATATTATTAGAACCAATATTAAATTAAACCTCAAAAATCTTTTGTAAAGCATGCGTTGAAAAATTAGGTGAGGAGGAGGGAAGAAAAAATGGTTTCCAAACAAAAAATATTGAATAATTCAGCATCTAAAGAAATGTTGATTTTAAATGGCGGAAATTCAATCACAATAATTTAAATGGTTTTGCACAAATGTTAAGAAATTATTATAAATAATGACAAAGTGAAATTAATTAATTAATCAATCAATCAACTGGGACATTTAAAATGGTGGACACGGACAATCCGCGTCCGCTGACAATACTGATCATTATAAATAATGTTTTTTGGGGTTGTGATCAACCAACAATTTTATATATAGGATAATCCTCTCCTCAATTAGAATGTAAATAATATAATTTTTATACAGCATTTTATTTTTAATATTAATCAACTAATATCATGGCCTTGTTTTTCATCTTTAGCGACATTTGATGAAAGGCTCGTATTCCGAGTTAATAAACTTTCATCGGTTACGGTAGTAGTAGCACTTGCTGATGTTATATGTCTTGATAACATACTACTCCCACCATGACTTGTATTCTCACTACTACTAATCAACGATAATACTTCTTCGTCGGCTTCTCTCTCGCCACTACCATCACCACCAACAATTTCCCTTTCTCCACTACCACCACTACCTATTAACATTGATTGTTGTTGCTGATATCCTTGTTCAAGTAATAATTGTGTAAGATTACCTGGTGCCGATGTTGAAGAAGGGGATGCTAAAGATGACGATGATGATGACACGGATGAATCAAGAAATAAAGGACCAGTATTTCCTATTACACCAGATGATGAATTATGTTTACTTCTTGTTGAAATAGCTCTTTTAAGTTTTCCATCGCCATCATCATTGCTACTACTGTCATCATCAGCATCATTAGCATCATCACTATCACGACCACCAATAATAATTTTTTCGCCATCATCATCATACTCTCCTTCAACATTTATTATTGAATCTTCAACATTTCTTATTTTTGTTTTTTTAATTCCTGGTAATATGTTTTTAGGATCTCTTAATACTAAACGAGGTTGACCTGTTTTTTCATCAGTAGATATTATTGGTTCATCTGTTGTATTATTATTACCATTACCAACACCACCACCAAGAAAACTGAAACCAAATCTTGAACTGCTAAAACTTCCTCTTTTCCCACTCTCACCATTATTACTTGATCCGGAAGAACTAAAAATGAATTTAAAACTAAGAATTGAAGAATTGTGACTACGACTACTTTTATGACTTTGCTTTCCATCAGATGAATTGACCATTGATAAAGAACTGCTTCTAGATGTATCAGCAGAACCGATTTTTTTTGGTGGAATAATATAATCAGTAATTTTGTCATCTTTCTTACTTTTTTTAAATAAAGATTTAAAAAATCCTGGTTTATCTGATGACGATGAATAGTGTTTTGGTGTTTTAGTAGGTGGTTGTGATAAATTATCATCGTTGGTTTCTTCATATGGAACAGAAATTATAGAATCGTTACCATTTTTAAATTTTAATTTACGATCATTACGAATACTGATGAAAATAACAATCGATTTCACTATTTTTAATGTAAACACTATCGTACATGATGATAACGTTAAAATTGGTATAATATTTGGTAATATTGTATTTAGCTGATATATCGTCTATTTTTTTTTTGGGGGGGGGGGGGGGAAAAAGTGAATGATTGATTAATTGATAGTGATAATAATAATAGCATAATAATTAATTTAAAGGATAATTACCAAAACAATTAATTGTGGTAAATCTTCAATAACAATACTAAAACAATTAGTCCACCAAATCCAATCCATAGTTCTAGGAGTTAAAGGTGCACTTAACATATCCAACGACATACAACCCGAAGATATGGTGTTAAGAGATTCCAAATCAGCACCTGCTAATACGGTAAACAATAATCCAGTTTTTGAATGTTTACGCCACCAATTATAAAAGGCATCATTTTTTGTTTCAGTTGTAATTATGAAATATGTTGATATAATATTGTAAAGGATTGGTAATGTTATAAATATTGCACTAGATAAAAAATAAAATAAAATCACCATCATCGCGTTATTAATCAATGGTGATTTAGGTTTGAATAAAAAAAGGGAAATATAATTTGTATTTATTATTTACCTGACTGGATATAACCATAATAAATCTTGTCCATGTATTAATAAAAATGCTATGTCTAAACCTAAATCGATTGCAATTAAAGTAAACAAAAACACAGCACAATTTCTTCCCTAAATATAAACATATTTGGTTAAATTAATTATTATGCTTTTTTTTAAATCATACAGTATATACAATAGATACTTGACTAACCTTTTTATTTATTCTTCTAGCAAGACAAAAGATGAAAATTTGTATAATCATTAATATAGAAAATCCTAATAAAATCCATTTATATTGATCCCATAAACCCGCTATAAATATATAAATTAATATATATATGTTTTACTTAAATATATATGTATATGAATCATAATCAATAATAATAAAAATTTTGAAGAAAACTTACGAATTCTAGGGCTTCCAAACTCATCATCAAGATAGCGAGTATAAAGACCTTTTGAAATAGGGGTGATAAACTTATTTCTAATCAAAACATCCAAGTCACGTAAAACCTCATCGGATCCAGATTCTGTTATTGATGACTGAGAAATATCATTATTATTTGAAGGTTGTTGAACATCAACTCTTAATAGTATTTGATTTGGTTTTGATGCATCGTATTGATAGAGTTTTGTCGTGCTTACACGTGAGATATGACATGGTATCATCAGTGCTATTTCTCTTGATATTCCTTCGGAAAATATGGATTGATTGGCGGAGGAGGTTGTGGTATAGAAAGAACTACCATCAGGTGTTAATCTTATTAACGCACTTTTTGAGTTTTGATCAGTCGTATCTGAATTAGGTAAATCTTGAGTGTATTTTTAAAAGATATATATATATATATATGTTAAATTATTTTTTTTTTTACAAAAATTTGATAAAATTAATTAAAACAATTAAATTTTACCTGTACTGAATTTCCACATATTTGATTTGATACCTAATAAGTTTTGATTTGTCTTTTTATCTTTAACAAACCCATTTTCAACCGATATATAATAACTTTTATCTGGTTGATTGAAAGTACTTGATAAAACATTGAGAGTTATGGTATTGTTATCGATCATCTTTACATATTTTGAATCACTGCCAGAAAAAGTTTGTCGTAGTATTGAATTATCCGTATTAATAAATGATGATAGAGAATCATCATCAATAGGATTGTCGTTTACTTGATATATACTAATGTTACCAGATGCTAACTGTACTTGGTTTAAATAGGTAATGTTTAACGGAGTTGTACTGCTTTGTGTTATAATAGAATTTTTTGGCGGAAATGTTGAATTTATAAATATATTTCCAAATTCAGCTGGATTACCCGTAGTAACTATATCAACTATTTAAATCAAGAATTTATCGTTAATATATATATATATCACATATTACGCACACATATATATCAAATAAAATAATGCTTACCGCTAGTATAATTGACTACAGAATCAGTAGTTATTAATTTCCAGTTGGTCTTTGATTGATCCATAGAAACAGACCAGATAGTATTATTAGTAGCTATGCCAACAGTTTTTTCATACGTGTAACCAGCAGGCATGCCCCAATCACTAACATAATCACCGTCAGTACTATAAATTACACCTTGAACAGTCTTTGTTACAAGATCTTCAGCCATTAGACAGTAACCACCATAATACAATGGCATAATATCCCATATATTTTTACCAGCTAAAATTTGATTATTAACATTATCATTATTACCAGAAATACCAAGTTCCTTTACTTTAATAACAGAACCAAATGCCAGAAAATCAATCCTTAAAAATACAGATCGTGTTAACTGTTTATTAACATCATAACGATCCATATTTATAACACAACTATAACCATAAGAATGGTAAGAGATTGAGCATTGGTAAATTTTAAAAGATTTGATTAGTCCGGTTGATTGTAAATAGATTTGATAAGGACCTCTTGTAATTGTTTTTCCATCTTTTGGGATTTGAGATATTGATGGTAGGAATGTGGCATAGATACTCCAAGGAGGCAAATAATCCGATTGAATCATTTGATTATAAACAGAAGTGATGATAGCGTAGCCACCATCTTCTGTTGAAAAGATATTAGTTAAATTTGATGAGAAGTTGACTTGATTTTCGAGTACACCTATAGCTTTTCTATCAATTGAACCTGTATGATCACTTTAATTTTCCAAAATAAATAAATATTTATTTGTTATTCTTTTAAATAAATTTATTTTCTGGATTAAATGAATACTTACGGAGTTGTATAAATCGACCAAAATAATTTATTACTATCAGAATTATAACACACTGTTAAGAAACTGCCAAGATCTTTTACGTTGGGATTTTCTATAACTTCGTTATAAGTACATATGTTATCTAGTTTTATTGTGGAACTATATAATAAATAATTATTAATAAAAAATTACTTTTTTTTTAAAAAAAAAAATCTATACTATTTACTTTAAAATACGACCATCCCAATTAAGAACTGTTGCACATAATCCATTGGAATCAGATGATAAGTCACAAGGATGAGTTAATAAAATGAAATTTAGAGAAACAGCAAATACTTTTAATCTGTCTTGAATATTTGGTGAAACAACATCACTACTATTAGCATTTGAAGGTAGCGATGAAGGTAGTGATGTAGGTGATACTGATGTAAATGATGATGTAGGCGATAGTTCAGATGATGATATTAAAGCTTCTGGGGTTATTGGTAAAGCTGAAGTTGTTATAGAATGATCAGTACTATCAGTTAATACAGTTAATGGTGTTGATGATGAAGTTGAATCAGATGTAGAAGTTATTGGTTCATCAGTTTGTGAGGTTGTTGTTGCTAAATCTACGGTTGGTTCAGTTGAAGTAGATGTTGAGGTCGTTAATGATGATCTTTTTTTGGATGTTTCTGTAATTGGAGCAATACTTGCAAACAAATCAGTTGATTCAATTAAAGGTACTTCTCCTTCAGGTACCGTTACGGTTGATGAAATAGATGTCGAGGTCATTAATGATGATGTTGGTTTTTCTATAGATAATTCATTTTTACTTTTTGTAATATTATCTTGTGATGTAGTAGCAGGATCCCTTTTTGATAATGGTTTTCTATAACCAACTTGGTTATTAATATAATTTATACATGGGTCATTGCCCTGAATTGTATCTAACTTTGGATAATTAATGCTTATCGGGGTAATGGTGCCATTTAAATGAATCAATCGTAGCGTTATTAAGGGAGCAAGACAATTTTTCTGCATGTCTTTTTCAGCGATCCTTAGTAAAATAGTTCCATCTCCGTAAGATTTACGTTCTAATATTTGGAATTGGGAATTGGGTGAAGGTTGTTCATTAAAAGTTAATATATTTATGCTTGGCGGTGATGATGGTAATGCATTAATTAATAGTATTCTTGATGATAATAATGAAGATTGTGAGTGTAATATTATTGGCGACCTTGATGATAATGTTAATGTTATTGATGATGATGATGATGATATTATTGTTATTATAAATGAAGATAGTAATTGTGTAATTATATTAAAGTTGGATGATATTATTAAAAATATTATTATTATTATTCTAAAACTGTACATGATTAATTGTCTTTATAGGGAAAAGTTAAATTTTTATTTTTATAAAAAATTTTCCTTTATATATAATATAATAATATATGCTATAATGAATCTATATTTCGAATAAATAAATAAATATACTTATATATGTGCGTTTATTTAAAATAAAAATTTTTTTAAATGAATTAAATTAAAAAAATAAATGAAAAAAGAATGAAAAAATAGTATCATAGCAGATAGATATATATTATTTAAATAAATATTATAGTGATGCGGGTGTATATGGTGTATATGGGCTATTTAGAGATTGACGTTTTTAAAGGAAAAGGAAAAGGAAAATAAAGAGAACGAAATAAAATAAAAATAAAAATTGAATTTTTTAATTATTGATATTTTTGGATGATAATAGAAAAAATTTATCATATAAATTACTTTTTTACTACTTTTCGGTTATTGTCCAAACATTAATATGTGAAGTATTAATTGTTTCTTAACATTAATTATTGGAGGTAATACATTTGTTAAAACGAAATGATAAAATTTTACGAAAATTTTGTGTAACTTTTAGCACAAAGTGTGATTTAATTTTTTTTTTTAAAATATATATAATTATATATTAACAATGGCAACAATCATCTTTTGAAAGTTCGTTACAGGAAGTAAATAAATGTTTTACGCGTTAACATTATCCACGATAAAAAGATCTCAAAAGCTCATTTTTAGCTAGCCTATTAATTAATGAAAATTGATTTTACCATAATAATAATAATATAAATAAATATATTTTATTTTTAACTTAAAAAAATATAAACAAACCTCAATTACTAATTTTAGTAAAATAAAAAAGTTTTTATTAGAAAAATTAACTTTATCTTCAAATGTTGCCATCAATGCCATTTTTACTATTATTACTAATGTTTCCAATAACACAGATATTCATACAATCAATCAATTAATTATAGTACGGTGTTGTGCAATGCAAATCTTTTATCAAAGCTGCTAAAATTTATTTCCATAATAACGATGATCCTTTCTCTAAACGATAGACTTCGGTGATGTTTATATTCTTTCGTATATTTTTTTGCTTTACTTTTTTGCACAATTCAAATTAATAATAATAATAATACTAAAGAGTAATGAGTGTTACAAGGACTTTATCACAATCATTCGTAAAAATTTTTTTTATAAATGTGGCGAATTTAAAAATAGCATTTTTACAAATGGTAATATATATATTAATATGTAAAATAAAATCCTGCCAGTTAAAAATATCGCCCCCAGTCAATTTGAATTTTTTTAGTCAATAATAATAATGAATGTATAAATACATCGTAAATCCATTCACTGCGATAGATTTTTCTTCTCTTTTAGATTAATAAATGTCTAGTCACCCCTTCCACTTTAAATACTTTTAAACCACAATGCTATTTATTAATGCAACATTTCCTAAATTTTTTCTCCTTCAAACTAACGATGCCGAACTAAAAAAAATTTGAATGAATGTTACCGCCCGTCACCTTTATTGCAACTGGACACTGCGCGATGCACAAATGCTTTGTTATGAGTCAATGTTGCTTTATAGGCTGAATACAAGAAGTATTGGGATACTTTTTCTTAAGGCAAGCCACAAGCAAGAAAATCTGAAAGATGTTCAACTTATTTGGTATAATCTTTAGGTGTTACTACTATATTAAGGAATTACTTTATTTTTATTTTGAATGAATTGATTGATAAAAATTATGACAAGTTTTATGGTATTTGATTATATCACATGAACAAGTGAAACAAAACTCAGTATGATTATTATTATTTTAGTCTAATTGATTCATCTAGTGTTTAAACCAATTTTGATGTGATTATCATGGAATTCACTCACGAGATTTGTCTCAGCCGACTAAGCCGATCATATCTTTAAACTTGGATAAATTTTCAACTATTAAATTAGTAATTGTTTAGATCAGGTATTATTATCCATCTTCATTATCAAAAGGTTCACCATGATTATTAATTATTTTCGTTATTACCACTGCCTAATGGCTCACTATTATTATTATTGTTATTATTATTGTTATTATTGTCACTGATAAATTACCAGTACTACGTACTGTTGTTATTATTATCTAACGGTTTATTATCAATATTATTATTGTTATTCAATATCTTCCTGGTTTCATTATGATTTTCTTTATCTTTTAATTAATTTACTACGGGTTTTTTCTTTTCATACTAATTAATAAGGGCTTTTATATTAACATATAGAAAACAAAAAAAAAGGAATAATACATTTATCAGCCGGCTAAGCCATCTGAGCTAAGCAAGTTGGCTTAACAGGATGCATCGCTAAATAATAATGATTGTTACTTTATTTGGGTCGAGAAAAATTTGTAAATATCCAATAATCTACCGATATAAACAGCATTTGGTGATTGATTGATTGCGGTAAACGCTGAAGGATCAAATGTAAATTCAATCAAATTCTTCTCTGATTGATCTCAACTCACCAATGCGGGAATATTTATAATGATGGTCAGTTAAATTTATTATTCTGTCATTAAACGAAACCCTCTAGCATTCAATAATAATATCTTTGATGTGATTAGCTGGACATTATAATCCTGAATCCGCAGTATATGATGAAGAATATTACAATTATGAAAGTCATGATGAATGGTTTTTTGTTCGTTAATGTCTTTTAAACCTTTACTGATTTGATAAAGAATTTTGCCCATTTTGACCATCTTTTATATATCTCATTATAAATATATCTTCATTTTGTGATTAGGTCTTGTGTTAATTCATAAGCTTTAATTATATCATAAAGTCTAACAATAAAAAAATAAAAAGTAATATCAACAACGATTTAATAATAGTATTTAAAAAATTAATATTTGAAAAAAAATAATTTATCCTATTAATAAATTCATCAGAAATACTTACTGAAATTTTTTAATGTTACTACTGTCTTTACTAGATCTTTTATTGCCATCTATAGGTTTTTGTATAGTTGCAAAACCATCTTCGCCTATCTTTCGAAATTTGTCATCGCCCACCATAAAGAATTCATTGAAGGTAATGTGTTGATTAAAAGTACGCACTAAAAGCAAAGAATATAACAATAATTTCAAATTTCATTATCATTGGTCTTAATAGCTTTGGATTACATGATTGACACCATGCCCAATTAGTATTATATCTATTAGAAGTTGGATATTTTTTCTTCTTACACCTGAATATTCATCATCGTTCGTGTCAATATTATTATGATGTTTGTTTAACTTACAAAAAATTTCATTTTCCATAAATACTTTTTTAGTTTGGTTTTAGAATTTTACACGGATTTCTATATTTAGTATTAGTTATTTAGTCTTTTTCATCTTTCCATGTCTTTTTAAATTCTTGTTTTAAAATGGTTAAATTTAAATTCTATTTCATCGCCACAATAATTATCATCTCAAATGTAAGTATAAGAAAGTGTGTTTAATTAGTTAAAAAAAAGGAAAATGTGACAAACGTTGAATGTTTTTTCTCTGTCATTTTATTTAGATCATACGATGTTGTTACTCACAAGAAACTCATACAGGCATTGGCTCTATACCATCACTATTTACCTGGTTTTTGTGTAGTACATATGAAACTAATTACATAGGTAATAATAATAATAATAATAATAAATAAATATTTTAGTATGAAATAATAATTATTATACATTGCTTCGTATCAGGGCTGCTGACGTGAAGGGATGACCCCCTTAATTTAGTGACGGTTGAAGTTGGCTAATGGTTTAGTCAAGTTACGCGCTCAGCCCTGCTTCGTATGCAATAATATTTTTTTATCAAAAGCGTTAAATAATATTTATTGTATATGTATATATAGGATATGATGTGCAATTAGTTAATACCACACAACTACCAGATGGACATTTTGGTCAAGTAGTATTAGGTCAACAAAGAAAATTTGACACATATGGCATGGTAACAATTGTATCAAACTTCACTGACATGCAGTTATACATAGATCCTTCCGGACCACCACTAACTTTCTACAAAGCTGTATCATGTTTCGATGCACCAGTGCAAAGATGTCGACAAGAACTAAAAACATTACTTCTCACCAAAGAAACATTATGTCTGGGAATAACAAATCCAACTAGCATGGAAACCAAATTCACATTGTCAATAAGTTTTACTTCAGGTGTTCCCATCCCAGTTCTAAATATACCACCCGTATCAGGTACCATAACCCCTTCTACAACAGGACCAATTGTAGTTAGTACAATCGAACCTACATATATACCATCTCCACAACCTAAATCTAGTAGTAGTAGTAGTAGTACTAGGACTATCGTAGAACCAACTGCTGCTCCATTTTTTTATGTTAGTGAAGCAACTAGTAAGGATTCTTATCATTGGAAATTGATTCCTTTTGGTTTCTTATTATTATTGGGTTTATTTGGAGTTAATTGGGATTAATTATAATGATTATTATAGACAAATTTAATTATTTACTAAACAATTTAGAAAAATATTAATTTAATTAATTAAAGGTTATTATTTATTTTCTCCAATGGAAAGAGGGAGAATAACGTAAATAATATATCATTTTATTTTTTTTATGTAATATATAATTTATATATTTATGTATGTATTTTTTTTCATTCTATTATATTAATAATATTTTGTAATGATAAAAAAGTAAAAAGTATATTATTATTATTATTATTACTACTACTACTACTACTATTATTATTATTATTATTATTATTATTATTATTATTATTATTTTATTATTATTATATATTTTCTAAAATTTTTTTTTAATCGACTTTTTTACTTTTTCTTTTCAAGTCCTCTTTTAATGCAAAATTTAAATGTACAAAACTTTGATAAAGACAGAATCCAGGTATAATAATCCATATGAAATTAATTGCAAAGAAATAGCCCCAGAAGTAAATAGGTTCAGGTCTAGAATGTGGTGACCCGATGATCAGTGTAGTAAAATAATATAAAACATCGCCATATATTTGACCTAACGAAACTATCAGCTGTAATATGTATCTTGATGGCCAATTATTATAAATTGCTATTGATGTTAAAAATGATAATGGTCCCCAAAACATCTATAATAAATAAAGGAGTTAATATTTATTTAGAAAATTAAATTTTCTGTAAAAAAAATTATTTTTTTAACTTACAGAAGTAATTCCTTCCATAATAACAACAAAAGGATCAGATGTCAAATATCTTGAATCGGATAACGCATACTCTTTCCAAAGCTGAGACATTAAACTATTATCACCAACAATTTCTTTATGGAAATAAGAGAAATACCCTTCCAAGAACAAATGAATAAACCCACATATGATAAACCAAACAAATAACAACTTATTTATAGTTGATACATTAGATTTTGTTCTAATTATTACCAAGGAGGCCGTTACAACTGTGATGACTAATGCAACAAATATTGATAAAAGTTGTGTTGTTGTGTATGTTGATTCTATGTAAGTCGGTAACTAATATATATATTTAATAAATTAGAGTGTGTGTGCAATAGATTTAATAGGTTAATAAAATTCATTTTATCTCGCTAATTTGTTACCTTGAGATTAGTTGGATAAAAAGGATGAGTTGGAAGAGTTATGTTTGGAGTGGGTCCATCTGTTGTACCTTTATTAGATGAACTGCCTGTAAAAAAAGAAAATAGTTCTGCAAACATTTTCAAAATATTTATTTTTATTTAAAATAATATAAAGATATTTTGTCTCGATCAATTATAATAATAAAAGGTATACAAAAATGGAAAGTGTTAAATAATTTGCAGAATTATTTACTCGAAAAAGAAATTTCATTCGTCTGATCGCTGCAGGTAACTCATTTTTAAAAAATAAGAACATCATTAACATTAATTCAATTTTAATTATGCATTTTTAAAAAATTTTTCTTTATAAAAAATTTTTTGTGTTTGTGTTGTAGAAGACTAACTTTTGATCCTGCGTATCTGGAAAAGAAAAGTATTCAGATTTAAACTCTTAAGAGAATAATAATAAAAAAGTTTATTATTTTCAAATCAAAAAATGTTTTTATAATTGATTATAATATTATATAAATATATTTGATAATTATAACAAACAATATCAAAATAAATATCATTATTTATTCACTCATTTCATTTTCCTTATTATAGTTTTTTTTATTACATAATTTTTTTTTGTGAAGACATATTATTAACGAGTATTTTATCCTCATTAGAGCAAAAAAAAAATATTAATAAATTATTTCTCATTCATTCCATTTCATTATTAATTATATATCTAATTTATTTATTTAATTTTTATTTAGTATTTATTTTTTTTCCCAGAATTTTTTTTTGTAAAAAGAAGAAAGAAAACTCCTTTATGCAATCTTTTGCTCAACTAGTTTTAGTGTTAACACGTATTAAGCACTTGAGAGCCAAAAAAAATCCCCCAAAAAAAGGTGGTGGTGGAGTTGAAACTTCAAAAAATGGTTTAGAAGAAAATACTTTACAAAAAGATATCGACACTAACAACACAAATGACTCAACAATCAACGTCACATTAAATAATAGCAACAACAATGATAATAAAATACTTTACACAATCAATAATAATATAAATGATGATGATGATGATTATGATGATGATGATGACGACGATGATGATGGAGATGGGGAAGGGAAAGAAAGAGGGGAAGAAGATGATGATGATAATGCAACTAATAATTTTCCTAATACACCTTTATCATCATCTTTTAAGAAACTTTCATTCTCTTCAAAAATATTATTTCATGATACTTGGACGCCTGAAGATTATGATCGACGAGGTGATCAGTCAACTTGTAATCAGTTAACACCAATACTTGCACAGCAAATAAAAGATGAATTAAACGAATTTAAAATGGGAGAAATGCAAGTGCATGAAGATAGTAGGCAAAATACACATTTTTTTGCTTAATTTATTAATAACCATCATCATAAATAAACATTTATTATTTAAATAACGAATTTTCTTGTAATTTGATTGTTTAGAATAAATAGAAAATATTCGTTATTTTTATTCATACACAATCATGATGTATTTATAAACAATGTACTTTATTTATATTATTAGTTTTTAATATTTAGAGAATTATTATTTATTAATATTAAAAAATAGATTTAGGAATAGAATAATGCTAATACCATCAAATAATGCTATTAATACTAATACTAATAATTATTAAATTGTGTATTTTCTCAACTAAACAGGCTTTAGAATTATAGATCACGTGTATTAAATATACGTGCATATACGCAATTTAATTTATTATACGCGATACATAATTTTAATTTATTATATTTTTCACACACTCAATTCCATTTTGAGATTAATCTTTCTTTACTAATAAATAAAATTAATAAATATATAATATATAATTAATTTAAGATGAATTATTTACAATTACTTTATCAATCTATCGATAAATCATTAGTAATATTATCCTCAGTACTAAAAATATTAACGATTTTAATGTCATTTTCTATATCTTTATTGCAATTATCATCATCACCTACACCTATAACTACTTTACTAACACTACTTCCATCGTCATCGTCACCATCGATTTTAAATCTATATTTCGTACCACTATTTTCATCTTCAATAACTTTTCCCTCCTCATCAAACAAATTTTTTTCAATAAATAATACATTATTATCATAATCTACTAATATAATTGTACTTGTTCTGGTAGCATATGGTCCATTTACATCATATTTAGGTACTCTGATCGTATACCTTAGATGAAGTAAATCTGCAAGATATTTAATATTTTCATCTATTGGTTCTTGAGAAGGTGTAACAGTGCTGAAGAGTAGTAAGTTAATTAATTATTAGATGTTGTGGATATATTTAAATATTTGATAACATTATATCTCACCTTAATAATTCAAATAATCTTTTAACCAATTCATCTTCATCTTGTTCATCAACTTCTTTTAAAATAAATTTCAATTTCTCGATTCCATAATTAACTTTAGGCCAAGGCTTCTCCAAAATAGTATTACTTAAACCATAAACCATTCCCTTCTCCAATTGTCTAATTTCAACATTCTCTCGATTATTTAAATAAAAAGCTTTTATTGAATCTTTTAAATCTACCGTAAACAAATTTAATCCACCGTATTTATCAATTTCTAAACTCAATTCCGACATACATTGTTCTAATGATTTATTATCACCATTACTGTTACTATGATCATCAGATGATTCTAATATTTTTTTTACAACCAATCCACGTGATAAAGGCATTTTTTCACGTAATCGTTCTTGATAATTGGTAAGGGCTGCAAATCTTCCATTACGGCTTATACCCAACCATGTTCCTTTATCCGATCTTTGTAAGTCTAAACCGCTTAGAATATTTGGATTCCACCATGATGCCAACAATGTTGGCCTATTCAAATATTCATCTCGATTTGCAGCAAATATACTTTTTGAATTTTTTTAGATAATATGTTACCATTCTAATATAAATTTTATTATTAATATTTATTTTATTATTGTTAAATTAAACAAAGTACTTACAATTTATATTTAGGATGATTATTTAAAGTCCAAAATAAGATACACATTATCTTTGATAATTTTTTGCAAAATATAAAAATCGAATTTTCATGAAAAAAGAGAAATTAAATTAATTAAATTAAATTAATAATACAATTTATACTTTTTTAAAAGAAAAATAAAATCTGTTGTCATCCCGGATTAATCCAATGCATACAAAAAACATTACTAATCGTATTAGTATATCATCATTCCACCATTCGACTAATTTTTGATATAAATACAGAGTCACACCATATATATTATGTAAGGAGCAAAAGTGTTGTATGATTTATCGTTACATGCTAATATTGCACTATTATAATTTGGGTTAATAGTGAGCTCCAAAAAAGGAAAACTGAAAAAAGTCATAAGGACAATCACTAATACATTTTTGGTATGTAAGTCATTTTCTAAACAGAAAAAAAATCACGCCAATCAACTTTCGAGACTCGCGTTAATATACTTTGCTTCATTACCTAAATACTTGCAATTAATTGATCCTTTTGAGTCATCTTTGGATCCTTGATATGTTAGGGAATTCTTTCTGTCATAATATTACGCTTGTAAGTTCTACTATTATTACAATCATGTCAGAAAAAAATCTCCTGACGTTAATAATTCTCATCACATGTTGGTGTTGAGAAACCACGTGATAACGTGAATTGTATGTATAATAATTCTTTTTAAAATTTTTCGCCTGTTGTTACTTATCTTTTATCATCCCAACGGCTCTTCCGAGTGACTTTAGGCCGTGCTCCAATCGAATATATATGCCTTCCTAAATTAGGAAAATCTATTGATTGAATAGCGTTCTTATTTTTATTTGTTGATAACAGCGTCATTGACATCATTAGAAAGCAGGTTTGATATTCATTAGAGGTTGGAATCGTCCAAAAAATTCTTAGTCGAATACTAGTTGGTCAAAAATTTCTTTAGTCGATTATTTAGTGCGAATAAATTTTTTTTTTATAATGATGATAATAATATTTCGTTTTTTTTTTAATTTGCAAATTATGAATTCATTTCCTCACTTTTTCAAAATACTTCCACACAAAGCCATGTATTACGATTCGTTTTTTTAAAGGTCTTCTGGAACAACCGCCTAAATCATTGGAACTTGAAGCCAATGAACTATTGGACCTTGTATTAGAAGTGTTTATTCATTCACATGTAAAATTATTATCAACAACACTACTATTGTCGTCATCATCGTATTGATGGTTTTGACACTCTTCCGCATAAAAATTTTCCATTTTGAATGATAAAACACAAAAATCGTAATTAGTCATAATAATATTAGCATAGTATTAGTGTTAGTGTTAGTATTAGTATTATTAGTAGTCGACTAATTAGCCGATTCCAACCTCTACACCTCAATTGGTTTTGTGGTAAAACTTTAAGTGCTATAGTCAAATTCATTATAATTAATATACCCGGTTCTATATAATCTATCATAATGATAATGATATGTGCTCAATTATATTAAACATAAAAAAAGCTCACAATGTAAGAAAAATTATTAACGTTCTTCAATTTTCTTTGGTCTGGAAGTCGAAACATTTGAAATGAAATTGGTTTCCCTCTTTGATGAGAAAGTGAAAGTAGCGAGCGTCTTTTATTTTTTAGGGATAATCATATAAAGTGACAACAATTTTTAGTGTCGATAATAAATATAGTCAAATTAATATTTTTGTAACGAAAAATGCTATTTTTTTTTTTGACAACTTTTTTTGAAAAGGCATGTTGATTTACAATTGTTATTATTATTTATTATTTATTATTTATTATTTATTATTATTACATACATTAATATTGGTTTGTTTTACTTATTTTCTTTTTTGAAAAATCATTTCAATTTACGACTTTCGACTTCACCACCACCGGCAATTACACCAACACGGAAATTAGATGTTAAATTTCTAGCAGCATTAGAATGATCATAAACACCACCATTAAATGCGGTTGTCATATCCTTGCCTATTGAAGTGGTGATTAATGATCTACCACCTGGATGTTCTTCAATAAAATTGGTTACATCGTAAATTATACCTTCTATCAATATCCAGTTATTATTTTGTGCATGTTCTTTAACTTGAGTAAAAAAAAATAAAGAATTAATTAGATAATTAAATAATAATAATAATAATAATAATAATAATAATAATAATAATAATAATAATATATATATGCACATCACTTACATTCATCGAAAGTATAAACGGGTAATTGATTTAATGGAACACCCCAATTTAAAAATTTCTTTGCATCATCCAATTTCTTTTGTTTCATTAATAATATACCTTTCTTGATTTCATTATCAGGGAATTTTTTTAGGTGATGAGTCAATTTAAAATAAGATAAGAATCTTATTAACCATTTGGTAGGATCATATTGGTAGAATTTAATCGCATTACGATAATCCATTGGGAATTCATGGTGGAAATTGTGATATCCTTCACCTAAAGTAAAAATGGCTGTCAAGAAATGATCACGTGGCGTACGTCGATCATCAAATGGTGCATCTCCCAAAAAATGGGCTAGTGAGTTGACGCAAAATGTTGCGTGATGTACAACAACTAAACGAAGAACTGCTGCAAAATAAAAGCCACCCTAACACAATATATATATAAATATAAATACATGATGATGTATAAAAATTTCATTTGTTATTTTATTATACATACCCACCAATCGCCCCAACCTAAGCCAGCAACCAAAGTAGGTAATAGGAAACCCATACCAAGAGCAAAATAGAGGAAGTTACGATGTTGAAATCTTAATAGTGGATCAGAATTGAGGTCAGAGATGTCGGCTTTGCCAATAGTATTGGGATTTTGTTTTAAAAGCATCCAACCTATATGCGAATATAGTAAGCCTTTGTGTGCGCTATATGGATCTTTTTCAGTATCAGTATAACGATGATGAGCCCGATGATCTCTGCACCACCAACGTACGGATCCCTCGACAGCACCAGATGCACCAAATAACAAAAATATTTCAAGTGGACGCGAAGCTTTATAAGCTCGATGAGCCCATAGTCTATGATGTCCTGTTAATAATTAATTTAGTTAATAATGATGATGGTAATAATATAATAATAAGTATTGAGAATTTTACCAGCAGTAATTCCTAAGCCAGTTATGAAATAATAAATTATACTCCAAATGGCAGTATTGTATTGGATGGGAGTAGTGTATAAGCCATATAAACCAATCAAAGGTGTTAAAGTCAATAAAGGAGCGTGCAACCAATTTATGTGACGATACCAATTATTCCATGTGATAGGTTCGTCTCTGATGTGATGGTTTTTAATTATATTGTTATTATTGTTAACGTTATTATTATTGTCTGATAATGATGATTTTGTAAAATTTGATGATTCTTTAAGTTTAATCTTGTTCGGAAAAGTTGTTGAAGATATTGTTGTGGTTGTGGTGGTTGTGGTGGTGGTGGTAGGAGTTGTGAATGTCATATTTTTGTAGAGTTAGCGGAAACGAAATGACAAAATATTATGTTAAATTTTTATTCGTTTTGTATATATATAAAAATAAAAATTGCAAAAGCAAAAATGTTTAAAACGATGATGAGATGATGATGTATTTATGATGTAAATAAATTTTGATATTAATCAATGAAAAAAAATTGATAATTTTATTTAATTTTATCTATTAATGTTAAACTACTACATAATTAATTATTATAATAAACTTAGTCAAAAATCTTGGGGAAAGAAGAATGAAAAAAATTACAATTTTTGGGGATTCATTCATAACAATTAAAGATGGATTAATTCATTTTGTTTTGATCTACAAAACATTTCTTGTTTGTCACGAGTAAAAAAAAATTTTTAATTGGGGCAACATATAAATAATTAATTTAGTAGACAATTAAATGGTAATTTAAAATCCCCCAAAACGTAAAATAATTAAAATCCTTTCATGTGGGAATGCTTGCAAACACAAAAAACATTTTTAGATCAAAGAAAATTAAGAAACGTCCAAATATAATATTTGATAAACATGTTCACAAATAAGTGTCTCCAAGCAAAGTTTATGGGGTTCAAATTCTGGTGCCATTTTTGTTGGAATGAGAGAGGTAAAATAAATACCACAGCTGATGTCAAGATATCACATGGGAGGAGGTTTTGTTATACCTGGTCTGGGACATACTGCAACAAAACTGAACGTTATGTCACAAAGAAATTTCAACTAAATTGATCTTATTACCAAAAATGTTGCTTGATACACCATACAATAGATGTCACACATTCAAGGAACAAATCTTATTTTACATCAGAAATAATGAATGTATTTGATAATCTCACCTCGTGTTGTTATAAAAACCAATCCATTCATTTTCAAGTAAAAAATCGAAACTATAATAAACCTTTTCAATAATGTCAACGCAAATAACACAAATTTATATACTTTTACCACTGAATTCTGTTATGGATTATTGACTGGAGCTTTTTGCTTCATTATAACACTTAAAAAAAACATCTATAACATAGATCAAAATTGATAAAATAGTTAATAGAATAAATTAAAATCAACGGTGACCAAAAGTATTACTCAGAGGATATCAAAAAACTGTGGAAAGATTTTAAACGATTATAAGACTGAAGAAGATCAAGGTTTTCATTTAATAAAATGGTAATTGAAATTTGTAATTACCTGGAAGAGCAAAGGAATCGCTGCACCCGTCATAAAAAACTTCTACCAATGAAAACCAACCCTAGAAAATCAACTATAAAAGCAATTCAGGAATTGGTTGATAAAGAATAAGGTGATATTAATATTAATAATATTATTGACAATAATAATAATATAATAATCATCAATGAGAGTATTTTCATCCCCATACAATTGCTCTGGTGGTTTTTACTTATATTTTAATATATAATTATTATTATGTTATCTTTTCATTATTGTTTGATCCTTTCCATCTTTGTCTCCATATATTGTGTCATATCTGTATGTAATACATTTGATGTTCCAAGTTTCCAAAATTAATAATAATAATAATAACATCCCTTACATTTCCTTTGCTAAGTTAGCATGTGACAAAATTGAACACTGATCTTTTTAATATAAGAGACTGAAATAAACTGGTCACAAGTAAATAAAAAGTATATTTATTTACAATTATCAAGTGTGCGAAGCACAGTCAAATATAATTAAATGTGTGTCATACGAATTTTTGCAATCGACTGGTAATTTTGTTATAACAGTAATTTTCATATTATATCAAGATCCGTTATGACGAGGTTTGACTGTACAAGAAGAGGCAGTAAGCGAGATCCAAGTAAATTCGTAAATTAATTACAGTACACTCTCTCTATAACGGCACTTCTGTTTTGGCAAAAAAAGGCCGTTATAGAGAGAGAGAATTTGCAGATCATAATCATGTGATCAATTCATAATGTATTAATCATTTATTCAATATTAAGAAAGCTATCTAATGTTGATGTGAATCAAAATTGAATTCGTTCTCACTTAATTGCAACTTTCCGAATTGTTGCTTAATGTAAGCATCTAATGTTTTCATTGCTGACAAAGCTTCTTTATTTGTAAGATGGAAATTCTTCAATTATTTGGGGGGTTTTTCCAGCAAAAACCGGTCACGAAAAACCAAATTTGTTTACAAAAAATTAAAAATTTAAATTTTTTATTGTATTCTAGTTGAATAATCTTTTAACTAGATTGCTTGAAGCTTAATATTACCATTTTTTTAATCTTAGTTTGTCATTAAGTTTTTTTTTTTAAAAAATTTCGTGCAACTTGGAAAAATGGGTGTAGATCATCCCGAATTCGAGCAGGAAGAGATTTCATCACCTCACTGTTCCTTTTTTTATTAAGTAAACATGATATTTTCACCAATAATCCTCATGATATAAATGCAAAAAACTCAATTTTGGTCAGGAAGCCCTGTGACTGGAAAACCCCCATTTCTTCTTGATTTTGGTTGGATTAATTATTGAAATTATGTCTTGTAAATTTATTTCATCATTTTCGTTAGTTTTGTCATTCAATGTATTCCGGATAATGAAGTAATAATGATATATGTATTAAATAATGTTGAAGATATGAAATAATTTCGACAGATGTATTGCCATTATAATAATAGGGAATTGTTATTCGCACCCCCATTTTTGCTATTCGCACCTGTGACTAAGACAAAGATGAACCAATAAAATCATCACATTTTAAAGCCATTTATTGACCACATTACTACACTTAGTCACGGGAGAGGTGCGAATAACAATTCTCTAAACATATTGTAACAATCCTAATACAGTCAAATCTCGATAAACCGAACTACCATAAACCGATTTTCGCTTTATAACGGTGCAAAATTGGCTAACTAAATCATATTTAATAAAAATAATTTCGTTAAGCTGAATTTTGTTATAATTTCTACTTTACTTGATAAACCGAACTTAATGGTTTGTACAAAATAATAAAAATATAACTTTCTAAGCCGAATATGATCATAAAAATTCGTCTTATAATGATAAAATTCGGTTTAAAGATGGTCGATCACCCAATAATCAAGTTTAGTCAAGTTTAGTCAAGATGATTATTATTAAATTAGGCCTCTAACCCTTTACGCTGCCAGCCCTGTTTGTATCGTAAATCGAATTTTGATAAGCCCGATCCTATTTTTGTGATTTCCAAAAGTTCGGCTTATCGAGGTTTGACTGTAATATCATAATATCATCATATATTTTATTATAAAACAAAAAAAAAAAAACAAAAAATTTCAATTTCATCAACAATTTTATTTTGTCAAGTCGTCAAAGTGGCACTCGGTGAGAAACTATCTTTAGGCAGTGCTTTTGTCACGTCTATGACTAAAGCCAAAAGTTTCGTCATGCATCATTACCCTGAATGTGGTTGAGCTTGTTTTATATAGGGACACTTATTACACTATTGATCGAAATGAAACAACTTTATCTAATTTTCAAAAGTGTAAATTTTGATCGTTTGCGCATTTGCTGAAAATAATAAATTAACCAGAAAAGAATATGTTAGATGATGGGTTGACTGACCAAAGATGGGTTTACGGTTCATGAATCGGCATTCTCGAGGGGTGCATAAATTGCAAATTTATCAGACGTCCAACAATGTTGCCAATCTTTAAACACTGATACTCTCTATATTTGTAATCTTTTAAACTTGACAAATAATGTTTCTTTTGAGTTATTTAGTAAAAAAAAAAAAAGTTATCTCTTAAACGGTCAAAGTATTCTTTAATGGTAACGCGAAATGATTTTTTGATCACGATCTTGCATTCTTATTGGCCAATTTAACGATCTGCAAAGTAAAAATAGTCAATCGACCAACTTTTAAGGAAGATTTTATGAAAACCACAAGGACAACAACCGAATTTTTATTCACATATCAAACAGCTGAATCCCAAAGATCATTTTCGTATTAGGAAGTAATACCTTTAGAAAAAGTTTTTTATAACAGAAAAAAAATTTCGGCTATCAATAGCTGAAAAACCGTTTAAGGGATAAGGATTTAAAGTTGGATTCTTCGTGATCTCATTACATATGCACAAGCTAGTTTATTTTTATTGAGATACTTATTGTAAATAAAAGTCATATGGGGCTTTGCTAGGAAAATTAAATCTTTCCCACCAAAACTATATTTAAATATCCCCTTATTACTTCAAATAAATTAAACTTACAATAATTATGCATTGTTCCAAAAACGTTTACTTTCCAAATTTTGTAAATAAATTATAAATAGCGATGTTACCGGCTTGCATACATAATTTCTAAATTTGGGAATGAATCTTCGCGTTACTTTCTGGTTATAGAAATAAAATTACCAGTTTAGGTAGTAAGCGGCTTAACCGGCTAAGGATTTTTAAACGGCTAATCAACATCAACGTATTTTATTTCGTAAATCAAAACACAAACATATTAATATCCAAGTATGCAAAACCCGGCTTGTTGTATGTCAATAAAATTATTCACCCGGAAGTAAAATACAGAAGGTATGAAATTGTAATCATTCAATTTATCAACGTAAAATTACTAAACGAGAGTTCTTATTAATCGGATGGCTAGATGGTAGTTAAAGCTGCTTTTTGAGTAGAAATAAATTCTATCCTCTGGTTGTATATGTTAATATAACGTTTCCGGTGTAACCTAACTAATCCATACTACCTTGTGAACTTATTGCAGTCATTTTGCTTGGTTTCCTTGATGGGCAAGGTCCTTTTTGTATGCTTTATGCTCCGTCACGATATAGTAAGCTGTCCTTCATGTCATTTTCAATCTTTTTGCAAACCGGAAACACTGCTTTAATAAATATATCAGAGGTTTTTGAATTCATAAAAGTAAAACAACTTATATATAAATATATAACACAAACAGCCAGATTTGTCTTAACTCCACCTTTTTTTTTTTTTATAAATAATGAACGATGTGTTATTTTTTTTTTACTCGATTTTAAAAAACAATCAAGAAAATGTTTATTAATTTATTATTAGTGATAATAATATCACTAGTATTAAGTAATAATGATAAAATAGTTTTTGCTGAACCTAATAATCAAATTTCAAGAATCGCAGGAATTGATGGAGACCATCAATTTATTGATAGTTATGGAAGGCAAAGGTTTTTTAGAGGACTTAATGTGGTAATTATATCATACATTATTTCCTCAATCAAAAAAAAAAAAAAGAATAATTAATGACGACAAAAAAATTTAATAAGGTTTATAAAGGATATCCTTACTATCCAAAAATTGATGCTTTCGATCCAGTAACTTCTTTCACAGAAGAAGACATTCAGGTAAAAAATAATTATGATAAAATGATAATGACATCTTATTATCATATAATCTTATTGTATACATTTTCAAAATTTTTAGATATTATCTAGCGTCAATATGAATGTTATAAGACTTGGGGTGCTTTGGGCAGGTGTTGAACCTGTGCAAAATCAATATAATGAATCCTATTTACAAGTTATTAAAGGTATAGTTGATAAATGCAATCAATATGGAATTTATGTATTGTTGGATTCTCATCAGGTAGATAGATACTTTAGACAATTGTGAATGTGATTGATTATGTTGTTAATTATTATATTTAAACTTAATTAGGATGTCATGAATGAAAAATTTTGCGGGGAGGGCGTAAGTAAATAACCATTATCATTCCTAAAAAGGAATAAACTAAATCTACAATAATAATTAAAAATAAATAATAGTTTCCAAAATGGGCATCTTTGCCAGAAGGCGGTAAGGCGTTTCCATTCCCATATGGTTTTCCAACAACATACGATGCAAATGATGTACCCACCGGTAGTACTTGTAAGATAAACTGGCCTATGTTATATACTACCAGTGCAGTATCGAAAGCTTGGCAAAATTTTTATGATAATTATAAAGGAATAAGAGATGCATTTATTAACCAATGGTTAAAGATTGTTGGATTATTTAAAGATTCAAATAACCTGCTCGGTTATGATTTATTGAATGAACCTTGGGCTGGTGATATTCTTGGAAAACCTCATTTGCTTAAAGCAAGTGGTATGTTAATTTACTGTAATAATAATAATAATAATAATAATAATAATAATAATAATAATAATAATAATAATAATAAATATAATTATGATTTGAAAAAAATTTTATTTTATTTAAAAAAGCTTCATCAAAAGAAAATCTTGGGCCATTGTGGAATGATCTTAACACAGCAATACGTACAATTGATAATAACGGAATAATATTTTATACAGCCGTTACATGGGATTTATTAGGTTCGGGTTTTGACACTGTTCCTGGTGGAGCTGATTATAATAATAGGAGTAGTTTTAGTTATCATTATTATCAGCCTCCAAGAATACTTAAGCCTAATCTTGATTTAATGAATCGTGTAAGGGAAGCTAAAAAAGTTGGTGGTGCTACTATGGTAAGTAAAATATAATTTAAATAATTAAACTATCAATTTAATAAATTATTAATTTATTACTTGTTTTTTTTGGGGGTTGAAAAAGATGACAGAATTTGAGGCAGCATATGATAAAGGAAAAAACTTGGAAAGTATTTCAACAACGATCAAAGCAGCTGAAAGTAATTTACAATCATGGATAGGATGGCAGTATAAAGATTTTTTTCCATTGACACGTATGTTAAATGGTGAAGGGCTAGTAGATTCGGTAACCGGTAAAATAATAACTGATACTGCCGTAGTATTTTCACAAACTTATCCTGAAGCTGTCGCTGGTAAAATTATATCATCTGGTAACGATGATGGATTTTCGTTAACCTACAATATTGACACCAGTATTGAACAACCTACAATTATAAGAATACAAGAAACTTATCATTATCCTAATGGATTCAGTGTAGAGATTGTGCCGGAAGGATTACTTGAATGGGTGAAATCTGATGGCGGAAATTTAGCAATCAGTATGATTGATAAACTAAAAATTACCGACGGACAAGAATTTACTGTTCGTATTATATCTTTATAATAATTTCATAGAAAATAGAATATCTGATATGCTGTGTACAGTGAATGATCATGGCATGTTTTTTCATATTTATTGTAATTTTTGATTGTACATTAATATGAATACATAAAAAAATTTTAATGAGAAAAAAAAACCAAAAATTTTTTCTGAAATTACCTTCGCATCAACAAAATAATTTAACCAAACCCTGCTCATAATAGTAAATCTTATGTTCGTTAAACCGTCGCCAGACTTGCAGTCGTTTATACGGTTTTTATTTCGAATATTATAAAGGTTTCCCACTTAATTTTCTTTTCGATTCATGATTCTTCAAAAAACACGACACTTTTATTAAGAATCAAATCATGGCGACGATGATGTTCTCTAATAAAAAAAGTCGTAAACTATCACATGATTTTGTGATGGCGACAGTGGATGACGGAGGATTGAATATAACGATGAAATATTTTATATTGTGGCATTGTTTTGTAAGCAATAGTGATAAAATCGTTGCAGTAATTATCGCATCATCTGATTATTTTGCTTTACTATTTATTTTATTTAAAAATGGAAAAGAAATCATTGATTAAAAAAAAAATACGACAGCATCTTCAAGGAAGAAGATTATCACTAATTAACAATACTAACATCAATAACGACAATGACTTTGATCTTGCTAACAATGATAAAAAGATTTTTATTTAGTGATATCAGCCAGCTAAGCCGATTTGACTTATCCTAGCCGGGCCAAAGGAATTTTTAAACGGCTTAGCCTGCCGATTTTCTTTTTTTGTAAAAAATTTCTTTTCAAAAGTCAACCTTATCATTATCAAAGTAATTAAGCCTTTTTGATATCAAACAGTTGAAAATTTTATTGGCTAACTTTTGATTACCATGCAAGCAAGAATTTACTTGGCAATGACAGCAAGCTCGGTACCATTCGGGAGGTTGTTTCCATCAGAAAAGAAATACACTTTGTAAAAATAGTATTCATAATATTCTTTTTTAGATTTTTGACAAAACAATAAATTATTTATTTACCCAAAATATAAAAAAGTTCTTGGCTGGCTTAGCCGACTAAGGTTTTTTTGACGGCTGATATCACTACTTTTATTAAATGGAAAAGATAAATCAATGATAGAAAGATATGATGGTGATGATGGGATTGGAATTAATCGAGGGAAGACTACAACGATTATGAACAATAATAATAATATTGACAATGATAAATGTAATCATTTACGTCATTTTAAATCTTAATAATCATAATTTAATGCCTTTAGGATGGGAATCGTTTGAAAATATCATTCATTATCAACGACAACACTCACCACATTAATAACATCAACAATAATAACGTATTAAACAAAAAAACATCATATTCTTCGTCCCCTTATTCATCATCCACAACGACGACGCGTCAACAAAATCCAATGGTAAATCCACCCATAATCATTACTATTATTATTACAAATAACGACAATAATAGTAAATTTGAATATGATGATTAAACGAGGCTTTTTTCAATGCTCGATAAAATCAAATCATCGCGATATATATTTTATTATTGAAAAGCTTATTATGTAAAAAACAATTGTGAGGAAAGAGAGACTATCCTGACTGGCGGGAGACAGGGAAAATAATAATGACTCACATCACCACCACGCTGCCACCACCATCTAACAGCAACAACTTCAATGGCGAAAAATTCATCAAAACAAAATAGAAGGATTATTTACAATTTAATTCATGGCCCTTTTGAGAAGGAAAGGATTTTAATAATGATTGGTGGGATGCATATCTCTAGTTTCATAATAAAATTTAAAGAATTCCACTTTGTTTCTTATATTATTTACATTATCAAAAAATCTTGTGTCGCTTTAGCTTCTTAAAATGATCAAGAATTAAACGTGATATCACGTGACCGTACGCATTGCATTTCTTTACAAATTATTAAAGTTATTTATAATAAAAATATTATTGTTCATGAATTGAAACTTTAAAAAGAAAAAAAAAATCCAAAGTATTGTAAAATTACAGATAATCAGAAAAAAAATATCAAAAATATTGTATATATATAAATATTAACAGTCAATCAATCTACTTTACACAACAATAAGGATTGTGAATGTAATAAATCCTTACTTCAATCAAAATTCTAATTTGAACTTCGTCTCGCAATTTTGTCCGTTCCGTTTGTTTATTGCTCTACACGTGATCTCCATTTTGGAAAAACACAAAGAAAATAACACAGGTCTATCCACACCAAATTTTGTGTCAGGTAAAGATATCCGAAGGTTTCCTAATACTTTCAAACCAGGATCATCAGGATATTTTGCATCATTTTCTTTCGTATAATATATTATAAAATTAATTGAAGTCTGCTCAGGTTTTATAGGTGCATATGAGTCTGAAAATTCTTTGTCAATTTTAACAATTTGGCCACGTTTTGCTAAACGTTCAAACTTCCTTATATAATTGTCCCTCGACCTTCTTTCCGGTGGATCACCTTCTCTCCATCTTGCGCAAATACCTATACCATAGGTATATTTTAGAACTCTGTTATTTATTACAAACTTATCACCGTCAAACAATCCCAGATAATTATTGTTGAACAAACTGAGTCCATAAATTGAAGCGCCACGACAAACTGCTGCAATTGGATTGCTCGGAACAGAAATATTTGGGACTCTGCATGAAAATTCACCTCTAATTCTTACTTGTAAATACATCGATTGACTAAAACCTCCAACTAAAAATATCGCCGAACAATCACATTTGGAACTGTCGAGTTGTACCCTAATCATTTCAATAATTCTTTCGATTATTGGGTCAAAAAACGATTTTACTGTGGTATAATCCAATTCAATCACATATTCACTTTCTTCAAGCTCTTCTTTTTTTGATCCTCTCAAATATTTTATCAAATCAGGACAAACTTCTTCAAGATCCATTTCATATTTATGATCAAGGTCTCGTCCAGTAAAGGTATTCTTTATAGTTTTGCAAAATGCTTGAATCAAAAATTGAAATTGTCCATAATGATCTTTTTTCAATGAATTGATTGCATCTTTACCAACAACCTCTTCACCTAAATACTCGATAAATTTATTGTCAACAAATGAGCTTCCACAAAAATCACCTAGGTTCATATGTGTATATATACATTTATTGTCAATATGGTTGTTATACACAGAATTTTATAATCTCTTAAATTTACCTGCTCTTTCAACTGTTTCACCAAGTTGATCTTTTCTCCACAATTTATATGTTGTTAAGTCAACCGTACCACCTCCACAATCCACAATCATAAAAACGGCTTTACACAAATAAAATATTATTATTGTTAATATTTAATTTAATGATGCAACATATAATACAGTAAAAAATAAATCATCAACAGCATACTTCCAGGTGTTTCGAGTGAATGCTGGTTAAGAACACTTTTTAAACAAAAAACAGCTGCAGCTTCAGCTAAATTTTGAATATTAAAATTTTCACAATTAATGAGAATATATATATATGTATATGTATATATATAATAACTAATAAAAATACAACTATTGTAAATAAAAATAATCTTACTTACGCTCAGTAGTAAATTGCAAATTTTGAGATTCAAGAGTAGAAATCAAACCAGCTTTGTAGATACATTCTCTCATGATACCATTTGCCTTTTCAGAATACTCTAATACATTTTTTTAATAATATAATAAATAATCTTTTTTAAAAATTTATTTATGATTAGGAAAAAAAACCCCCATATTTTTACCAGCAGGAACAGTTGCAATTAATAACACATTTTTGGTGAAATCTATTCCTTCCCATCTTTCAGCTAATTGTTTTTTTATTTCCTTAATAATGATAATAATAATAATGATAATAATAAATAATATTATTATCATTGATAAAAAAAGATCGATTTGATTGATAGCTGCTCAATAAATCAAACGATGAATTTAATTCCTACTTGTCCAATTTTATTAAGATAATCACTGACAACTTTCTTATAATCAAGAGGGAGTGAAGGTTTGGATACATAAGGCATCTCGGTTAAGTGAAGCTTGAATAATTCTACAGGCCGTGTCTCTTCCTTTTTCTTCCCTTTGCGTCTTGGCTTCTTTGCCAATGCCGACAAACCCCAGCTTTTGACGGTTTCAAAATTCGAATCATACTGTAAAACTGTGTTGATTTTCAATTGACCAATCATATCTGGCCATGTTTCGTTGGTGATTATTTCTTGTTGTTTAGATGTATGAACATAACTAAATCCCTACATTTGAAAAAATAAATATTTATTGTTATTTTTATTTTTTAGGTCTTGTACAATAAACAAAAAAGTGTTTTTTACATACCGAGAAGGTACAGCCAAAGTCTGAAAAAAAAGGTGGTAGAATATAAAATTAAAAAGTGAACCTTTCGACAAAACATTATCATTCCATCAAGATTTACCTAAACCGACAATGACTCTAATATCATTTTTCCAAGACATTGAAGCAGGATCTTCGGAATTGAAAAAAGTATGTTGTGTAATTGACTAGAATTACTTCTTTTTTGTTATCAACAGACTTTTCTAAATCAACGCACCATTTAGACAAATCGTTACACGATTCAATTTGTAAATTTCATTTATCCAACTTAGGAAACAATGAGCTTTATAAACTACAATAATGCTTCAAATGATACAGGTATTGTATTGTATGTATTGTATTTGAAAACAAAAGTGGATGTGATTGTTAAAAGAGAATAATAATGACAATTTATTTCATCAAATGCTACTAATAACTCCTTGCATCAAACGGGCCTACAGCCTACAATAAGGTGTTTGAGGTGTAAACCCCAACGACTCTTGTTGTGTTTCCGTGATATACTTTAAAAGTATATTACAGGGTCTATTTATATTTCTATCAATGGTTGTTGATCCATTTAAAGGGCCAAGATTTTGTTTGATGCGCTCACAACATCTACACGTTTTACTAGTGTATTCTTGAGTATGCAGACAGTGTCAACATTTGTCTTGCAGTTTTAGATTGGATTTTTCTGAGATCGCCTTTGACCGTTTAACTCGTTTTCACATTTTCGATGACATTCATCCAGCGTAGGTTTACACCCATTTAAGAAATTTCTTTATTGATATAATTATCACGTAAATATTGGCTTTATATATCCAGTGCGGAGGTTTTTTAGAAGGTGAAGCCGAAGATGAAATCACATCGTCTTTAAAACACACATTTGGTAAAAAGGGAATATTATTTAAATCATATTGTACTGTTGGCTGGATCAACTGTAACCCACGATCCAAGAGCTAATATTTTTAAAGAGTCATCATACCATTGATAAATAATATTTAAGTTGCAAAGCAAGAAATTCTTCTACGACATCCTCTTCCAGCTCGTTATATATAAATAATAATCATAGTGTTAGTACTAATGATAATTAGACCGTTTTTGTTTTTGAATTATTCTATTTTTGTTGCAAAAATGCCTAAATGCATTTTCACGATCCATTAAAATCTTTATCCGCTTGTGACATATTGCGGTCTTTTACTGACAGAAAGAAATCATCGAATAATGAATGATTTGATTATTATTATTTTTTTTTTTTTTGAAATTATTATTAAACTGCTTTTATGGGAACCCAACTTGTAAAGTAATTTTCTCTAACAGCGAAAAAAGAGTTTCTTTCTTTGACTTTCTTATTATACATTACCCAATTATCAGGTAATTACCCTGTTCGCAAAATCCATTACTATTGAACTCATACATTTATCAATTAAAAATGTACAAGTTTCGTGATCAACAATACCATTGCAGAGAATTGTTCAACTCCCCGGTAATCAGGAATCCCATCCCGTAAATTTTTCTGTCAATGGGTTTTACCTGCGCTAGGCATCAAGGCTATGTCAACCAAAATTTCTAGTTTCGTCAACGATTTGCCAAAAACACGTTGCAGTAGCACTCATTTAGCTGTACTCCCTTGACCAAATCCTACTTTTCGTATACTACATAATTGATTTGATCTAAGCAATCGAAGCTTGCCTCAAATACATCACAACTGCCATCGGATTCTAACCACCAGCTGCTCTAATTTGTGATAGGCTCAAAGCACCATTCATGGTTGCAGTGATGTCACCAATTCTTAACGAATGTGCCGTAAATCTACCATTCAAACTATGCATGTGGTCAAAATTATAAAACCAAGACGTTGCATTACTTACCATACATAATATGTAATTAGAACAAGACGTAATTTCTCAGGATGAAGATGCTTAATTTTAAAAAAGGAAATCATGCGACATTTGATGCAGTGGCTAGTTTTAATCGACATGTTAAGTCGCGTAAAAACTTTCAGGGATTCCTAATTAAATTCTCGGGTATGTTTTTCTTATGTTTGTCAATTAAATAATTATTGACGTCACATCTATTGTTTATTTTCTCATGCACATTCTATATATTCCTTGTAAATCTTTTGATGGATGAAACTGATGGATTTGCACACCTTTTCTAGGTTAAAGGGTCCTTTCTGACGAATCTCAAGATATCAACATTAATTTCGAAATGCAAAAATTTTATTTTTTTAATCGAATAAAAAGTAATGAATACGAGAATTTTTTTTGATATTGAGAAAAGAAAGAAAGTCAAAAATAGCAAGTGAATGAATGAATGAATGAATGAAATTATTGTTAAAACAAAATCATAAAATAAAAAGAAATCGTGAATATCTATTTTTTTTTTATACAATATACAGTGAATATATATATATATATATATATATACATATACATATATACATGTACAAAAGAATTATGGTGAAATTTTTAACTTGATGATTGTAAAAAGAATTTTCTTTTCTTTTCTAATAACATAAAATTATTTTGCAAAATAAATAAATAATTCAGAATAATTTGCTTTCGTCTATATATTTATCTCCTTAAATTTAAAATAAATAACTAAATGAATAATTAAAAGAATTAATCAATTAGTCCTTATTATTATTTAATAAATGAAAGTGAGAATTTTTGATTTTTGAACTTGATTTACAAAAAAATGTGAAATAAATAAATAAATAAATAATGGATGGATGGATGGGTGGATGGATGAATGAATGAATGAATGAATGAATTTTTTCATTCTAGTAATTTTTTTTTTTTTAAATTATGAGATGATGTTATCATTAATATTAATAACGTTGCTGTTGTTGTTATTTCTAATTGATTTATAATGATTTAAATTTTTTTTGTAATCTTTTACATCAGGTGTTATGCAAGTAGAAGTAGATGAAGATCTACTGATTCTACTATTTCTTTCGGGTAATTTGGTAGGTGGGGGCTTATTATGATTATGATCCTTATATTGGTGTTGATTATTATCATTATTATTAACGTTGCCTTCGTGAAAATTCTTATTTTGATGATGTTTTTGATGTAATAAATAATTGAACTTGAAAAATTTTTCAGCTGTAATATTTGCTGGTGAAGTGATAAAATTTGGTTTTGGGAATTCTCTGACGTCAAATATATTATTATTATTTTGTAAATGAATATTATTAGTATAAGTAGCAGTTGTTGCTCCAGTTATTGCAGTATCAGCCTTAATATTGTCATCATCATCATCATCATCACCATCATCATCACCATCATCACCACCATCATCATCATCACCATCATCATCATGCTCGATGATATTTTCTCCATATTCATCATCATCATCTTCTTCTTCTATTATATCATCATTTCCAATATATGGATTATGTAAATTGATCATCAAATTATTACCATTACTGTTACTACTACTACTATTAATGTTTTTATTGTTATTGTCATTCAATATTTTTGATTCATTATTGATCGATGGTGATTTTTTTGATAACGAGCTTTTATTTTGACCAATACTAGTTGTTCTCGATAAAATTTGAAGCATTTTCTTATGAATATTTGATATATTCGACAAAGATTTAACATTGCTACCAGTACTAATATTTACATCATTACTGATCTCAATCTTACTACTATTATTAGCATTATTATTTTTAAATATTATTGATGATAATTTAAATATGGATCGTCTATTGACTTTATTGGCCCCTTTTGATGATTTACTTGTATATATTTTATTTCCCAATTGTAAATAGGCAACACTATTTGAAAGATCAATTTTACGAGATAATGGCAAAGTATCTGAATTGGGTATTATTGACTTTATTGAAATTGGAATACTAAGAATGATTGGCAAATTAAAAAAAGTTAATAGTTGATAGCTGTGTATTGTGTATTATGTATATATATCAATTATTGACTAACCTGAATTTAACTTGATCTTTACCAAAGTTGCTTAATTGAATTTTGACATTCAATTGATGTCTTATTTTAATGTTAAATAAATCACAATCGTTTACAAACGATTCACATATTGGTAATTTAAATATCATTGGTCTACTTTGAAGTTTCAACGGTTCGTTTTTTGGTAATTGGAAATAAAATGGTCCAGAAATTGATTTTTCATTGTGAGCAACACATTCATTATTTGCGATACTATAGCATTCACTTTGAATAAAACAAAAACTAATCTTGCCAACTCTTCTATTAAAGCCATCCCATCTAGCAATAAGTTCAATTGAATTTGAATTTAATTTCATTATTTTTGGTAATATGAATTCAAAATCAAGCAAATCATTATTTCCACCGATGAATCTTGTTGGCTTTAATCCTCTTTTTATATTATCATCAGTTTCTAAAACAGCCCTTTCAATCAACAGATCAACAATGTCAATTAATTTGTTATTGTCTGTTGACAATTTACCCGGAAGTCTGGTTATTAATTCTGCTTTAAGAAAATATTTACATGAAATTGCATCTGAACTCGTTGATTCTGGTAAATCTCCTGGTAAAAGAAATTCGAAATAAAATTCATGGATCCCTGGTAATAATATTCCTTTATTTTCTAACAGTATGGAACTTGAAAATATAGTTCCTTGATTTGCTGGTAATGGTGATGATGATGGTATATCATTTAATAAATCTAATGAAATATCATAATCACCCACAAGTGATAGAATGATTTCCTAATAATAATAGCAAAATAATTGAATAATTTAATAATAATTTAAATAAAAATAATTTAGATAATAATTAAAATAATTTATTCATTAATTTATTACCTTAACATTTAATTTACCAGCCACTTCAAGTCTCACTTTACCTCTCACAATTTTTATTATACTATTATCAGGTGAGCCATGAAATATTATTCTATTTTTATCAAGTGCTATATCAAAATTCACAACAACTTGACCGATTCTTAATAATTTTAAATTCCTTATAAATACATTATAAGGAATATTCGAATCAAATTCCAATAAAGAAGTTGTTGGTTGATTATTATTATTAATGTTATTGGCGTTATCTATTTTATATGAAGACATTTAATAATAATAATAACGATACACTCGGACTGTTCTATAAAATATTAGTTGAAAATAAGATAATCTATTTTTTAAATATGGGCATGCTGCAACAAAGTGAATTGGTATTACTAGGATTACAGGGATCAAATTTAAATCGATAAAAATAGTACATTATCATTAATTTGGATATTAAAAAAACTGAAAATAGTACAAACTGTTCGATTTTCATACTATTTATAATGTTTTTTATAGGGGAGGAGTGATGATATTTTTGTATGTTGCATTACTTTTTGTAAAACAATTGTCAAGAAGCCGGAAGGAAAGATCCAAGTGACAAATTTGACAAGTACGGTTTGAAATTCCGTTGCTTTGGCAAACAGTTGGAATGCGAAAGGGAAAGTTGTAATAAAGAAATCGAGTAACGTTAGATGGTTTGTTAAATTATTGATGATTTCATTTGCTTTCTCTTGGTTCTTTATTTTTAATTTTTATTCATTTCATTTAAATCCTCTCAAATTATTTAAGCATTTCCATATCATGCTGTTTTGTTATTAACTCTCCTCCCTTAACATCTGATGGCCTTCGAATAGATGTAATATTAATATTAAATGGATATTTTACATTTCCTTCTTCGCCCGCACAAACAAAACCTATTAATAATACTGATTGATATACAGATGTGTCGTTATTCTAATTAATAATTATTTTCTCTTAAATCTCCATGCACTAAATTATTTTTGTGTAAATGAGTAATAATTTCATGTGTTTTACCTAGTGATATTAGCCGTTTTAAAATCCTTAGCCGGCTAAGCTAAGCTGTTTACTACCTAAATTGGTAATTTTATTTTTATAACCAGAAAGTAACGCGGAAATCTATTACCAAATTTAGAAATTATGTATGCAGATTATTAGCCGATTAACATCACTAGCTTTACCCCTAATTTCATTAAGTGGAGGAAAATTAGAATAATCGCAATATACATTTTTGTCCACAATCCATAATTATCATCATCCATCCTCCTGCGAGATGCTCACATGCTATATAATTCAGGAGTTTATCCCATATTTGAACATAAAATATGCACCTATTTGTTGTAGCAGTAGCCAAAAAATTTAGTTCCCCTCAATTTGAGATTTGTAGTGAAACTCTACTCTAGCATCATCATTTCCATAATAAAACTTATAAGGATATTTAGGATTTGAGCAACTTGGTTTATGCTATGATGCATCTCATCTTCATAATAAGACTTCAAATGGGGCATGCTGCAACAAAACCAGACAAAGTGAACATTGGTATTACCAAGAATTTCAGGGGTCAAAATTTAGTCATTTGTAATGTGATTATATAATTAACAGTTTTATAATATCCCATTTGTTACCTTAAATGATATATAGAATTACCCCTATATAAAATCGTTAATATGAAACTCATTTACATCAGATCTACCATGGAACCCAAGAATTATAGTACTATCAGAAGTATTTTTGAAGAAAGAGCAAGGTGAGAAAATTGCTCCTTACATTTTCAAAATAAATGATACTCAGATGCTAGAAACTTATCTAAGAAAAGAAAGGATTACTTATGGAATTTACCATGAAGAAAGAAAAATAATAAACATTAGGAAAAGAAAGCAGGGTGGAGGTGCATTGTTACCTAACAAAAAGCAAAAATCCTTAGAAGGAAAATAATTTTATTATTACAATATTGATTTATTTTTTACTGACTATTACTACAAAGAAAATTCTTTATGCAAAATATAATTAATAATCATCATATTGCATTGCTTATCAATAAAATGTTGTTTGAATTCTTGAACAAAAAATTCTACCACATTCAAGGATATGTTTTATGAGTCTTTGTTTTTCTCTCATTGACATTAAAAACAAGGTAAATAATCCTGCCTTGTATTGGAACATTATAAAGACATTACCAATTCACTTAATTTTCAGGTAAAAAAATTCAGATAATAAATCCTTCAAATAATCCTCATTAAACAATTTTATTTTGGTTTAAAAAAAAACAAAATCAATAAATATTTACACAATTTTCATCCATAATAGCATTTTTAAAAAAATGCCTACATTCAATAATGAACTTTTTTGTGGATTGTTAATTGGACTCCTTCTTGGTTTCTTGATTCGCCATAAAACCTACCAAAATCAACTCCATACTATAAATCAAAAAATTGATCAAGAAGGAAACAATTTAAAAATAAAACAAATCAACTTACTAGTGAAAAATAATATTCACAAGAAATAGAAAATCTATGGAAGGATTTCAAACAATTATTTGACAAAAATACTGGTTGAATCATTTAATGAAATGGTCATTGAAATTCACCAATTACTAGGATATGGAAAAGGAGTTGCTGCTTCCACAATAAAAAATTTCTATCAATGAAAAACCAAACCTAGAAGTAAAATGATAGAAGCAATTCGGGAATGGGTCAGCAAAGAAAAGAAGAAAGAAGTGGAGAGTGAAGTTGATGAAGATAATGAAATACAAATATTAATAATAACATTATTTGTAATAATAGTAGTAATAATGAAAGTTAGATTTTTGTCAGAGTGCCCAAAGAATAGGTAATACTTACAAATGGCTTTGGGTC